GTGCCTCCCCTAGGTGCGGTGCGTAAACATCGCCACCGGGGAGACAAAGGCGGGCGGGCGTGGTCGCTGGCCACCCCACCCCCTCGTTGTACCACAGTGCTAACAGCACTTGCCCCAACAGTCTGTCACAGGCTACACGGAGGACCTTTGTCTTTGTGCTGCGTGTGCATGCGTGCGCCAATGTGCGTGTGTGGCACGTGTTGTTAATACACAAGCACGCGCCGTGCGTCCATGTGTGTGTGTGGCACGTGTTGTTAATACACAAACGCGTGCCGTGCGTCCATGTGTGTGTGTGTGTGGCACGTGTTGTTAATACACAAGCACGTGCCGTGCGTCCATGTGTGTGTGTGGCACGTGTTGTTAATACACAAGCGCGTGCCGTGCGTCCATATGTGTGTGTGGCACGTGTTGTTAATACACAAGCACGTGCCGTGCGTCCATGTGTGTGTGTGGCACGTGTTGTTAATGCACAAGCGCGTGCCGTGCGTCCATGTGTGTGTGTGGCACGTGTTGTTAATACACAAGCGCGTGCCACGTGCGTCCATGTGTGTGTGCGGCGTCTCAAGCTGCAACGCGACAATCGTTTGCTCTGCACAACACAGCCGAGACTGCTCCTCCATCTGGCTCGCACTTTCCTCCTCCTGCACCTCCTCTCGGTCTGTTAGCCCGCAGGCTGCCGAGTTAGTAAATGTGCATTGCAGGAGACAGTGGCGTGAAGGTGTCTGTGTGTGTCTGTGTGTGTGTTTGTCAGTGTGTGTCTGTGTGTTTGTCAGTGTGTGTCTGTGGGTGTCTGTGGGTGGGTGTGTGTGTACTTTGTCAGTGTGTGTGGGTGTCTGTGTGTGTGTTTGTCATTGTGTGTCTCTGTGTGTGTGTGTCTGTGGGTGTGTCTGTGGGTGTGTCTGTGCCTTTGGGTGACTGTGGGTGTCTGTCAGTGTCTGTGGGTGTGTGTGTGTGTTTGTCAGTGTGTGTCTGTGGGTGTGTGTCAGTGTCTGTGGGTGGGTGGGTGTGTGTCAGTGTCTGTGGGTGTCTGTGGGTGGGTGGGTGTGTGTCAGTGTCTGTGGGTGTCTGTGTGTGTGTTTGTCAGTGTGTGTCTGTGGGTGTGTCTGTGGGTGTGTCTGTGCCTTTGGGTGACTGTGGGTGTGTGTCAGTGTCTGTGGGTGTGTGTGTGTTTGTCAGTGTGTGTCTGTGGGTGTGTGTCAGTGTTTGTGCGTGAAGGTGTGTGTGTGTGTTTGTCAGTGTGTGTCTGTGGGTGAAGGTGTCTCTGTGTGTGTGTTTGTCAGTGTGTGTGTGGGTGAAGGTGTCTGTGTGTGTGTTTGTCAGTGTGTGTCTGTGGGTGAAGGTGTCTGTGTGTTTGTCAGTGTGTGTTTGTGAGTGTGTGTCTGTGGGTGTGTGTCTGTGGGTGTGTCTGTGCCTGTGGGTATCTGTGGGTGTGTGTCAGTGGGTGTGTGTTTGTCAGTGTGTGTCTGTGCGTGTCTGTGTGTGCCTGTGGGTGGTGTGTCAGTGTCTGTGGTTGTGTCAGTGTCTGCGTGTGCCTTGTAGGTGGTGTGTTTGTGGGTGTGTGTCTGTAGGTGTGTCAGTGTCAGTGTGTGTCTGTGGGTGTGTCAGTGTGTGTGTGTCTGTGGGTGTGTCAGTGTCTGTGTGTGCCTGTGGGTGGTGTGTCAGTGCACCTAACAGCACTTGCCCCAACAGTCTGTTAAGGCTATTCGGGGGATCTTTGTGTCTGAACTCGTCCGAAGCTTGAGGTGAGAGGGGAGGAGGGAAGGGGGGAGGAGGAGGAGGGAAGGGTTGAGGGGAGGAGAGGAGGATGGGAGGGGAGGGTTGAGGAGGGGGAGGAGGGGAGGAGGGAGGGGGGTGACTGGGGAAGGTTGATGGGCGGTGGGGTCGAGGCGGCCACGATGGGTACATGACTGACTGTACGTCTAACACACAAAAGCAATGCACAGTGCTGCTGCTGTACCCCATCGATAACACAATACCAACGCAGCCACTGCAAACCCGACGATACACACCGACTACCGTTATGAGACCACGCTCCTAAATATAATACACAACGCACTGTACATAAAACATTTAATGCCGCAATGTCTAGAGCCCTAACCTATAACACCGAATACAAACCTAACCATAACACTTAAGACACTACACATCAAACACACCGACACATCACACCCCTAACACACACACGCTCACCTAACACACACATCTAACACACACCACACACGCATACCTAACACACACAATGAACACACACACACTCCTAACACACACACTCCTAACACACACCACACACGCTCACCTAGCACACACACGCTCACCTAGCACACACACACACATCTAACACACACACATCTAACACACACAACTAACACAATCCTAATACACACACACACACTGCTAACACACACACACTGCTAACACACACACACACACTGCTAACACACACACACTGCTAACACACGCACACACTGCTAACACACGCACACACTGCTAACACACACACACACTGCTAACACACACACACTGCTAACACACACACACTGCTAACACACACACACTGCTAACACACACACACACACTGCTAACACACACACACACTGCTAACACACACACACACTGCTAACACACACACACACTGCTAACACACACACACACTGCTAACACACACACACACTGCTAACACACACACACACTGCTAACACACACACACTGCTAACACACACACACACTGCTAACACACACACACTGCTAACACACACACTGCTAACAAACACACACTGCTAACAAACACACTGCTAACACACACACACACTGCTAACACACACACACACTGCTAACACACACACACTGCTAACACACACACACTGCTAACACACACACACTGCTAACACACACCTTAGCTTTGTCAGTCCACGAATCCACGCACCGCACCAAAGACAAAGGTCCCCCGTTTAGCCTGCAACAGACTGTTGGGGCAAGTGCGAGCACCTACGAAGGCCGGCACTGTGGCACACGAGGGGGTGGGGGGGGGGGTGAGACAGCACCACGTTCGGCCGCCTTTGTCTCTCCAGTGGCGATGTTTACACACCGCACCAGGTACTCATTTTGAGGCTGAGTCGACCTAGGGGAGGCCCAGGACCGGTTCAGATAATCGTCACTGGTGTTGGCCGTGAGCGGTAATCGAACCCGGGTCGCCGGGTTCATAGCGCAGCGCGCTAACCGCTCCCCACCTACACACACCTACCTACACACACCTACACACACCTATCTACCTACACACACCTACCTACACACACCTAGCTACACAGACACACCTACCTACACACACCTACCTACACAGACACATCTACCTACACAGACACACCTACCTACACACACCTACACACACCTACCTACACAGACACACCTACCTACACACACCTACACAGACACACCTACACAAACACACCTACCTACACACACCTACACAGACACACCTACACAGACACACCTACACAGACACACCTACCTACACACACCTACCTACACACTCCTACCTACACACTCCTACCTACACACTCCTACCTACACAGACACGCCTACCTACACACACCTACACAGACACACCTACACACGCTCCTACCTACACACTCCTACCTACACAGACCTACCTACACAGACCTACCTACCTACAACCTACCTACCTACCTACACAGACACACCTACACACACCTACCTACACAGACACTCCAACCTACACACGCACACCGCCACCATCACATTCGAGACTCCCATCTCTGATCCAACAGCGGACTAAAACAATATACGCACACATTAACCGTACATCCGCTACAACAATAGCAGCAGCAGCAGGCATCGGCAGGCACAGCGATGTTGATTATTTGATTGGACCGGACTCGCCTGAGATGTGTACACCCCCCCCCCCCCCCCCCCCAATTAAATTACGCCACTCGGCTCACCATCCTAGCTCATTTTCTCATCCGATGTGCTCAGTGAAGAGGCATCGTCATCCATCAGCCATGATCAATCCACTGCCTGATGGCGTGCTTCCGAAGAAGGGCGCCAGCTATCACGGTCATCCTGCACTCGAGGTGACACCGTTGGCTCCTTGGCTGCTACTCCGTTCTTAGTCTCGACCAGCGTCCTCCATCCATCCCTTTCAGCCACGACAAAGCCCCGTTTGCTTTTCTGATCGGGTCAGCATGTGTGTTTGTGTGTGTGTTCTCTATTCCAAGTGTTCCTCTTCATGTCTCTCAAGTGTAATTCCGAGTGTGGACGAGTCCAGTTACACGGATACAAGGAAGACGAGTACATGGGTAGAGTGAAGGGCACAATGATCTAGCGAAGACCACAACCATCTAGCGAAGACCGCACGGGTCTAGTGAAGACCTCACTGGTATAGTGAAGACCTCACTGGTCTAGTGAAGACCTCACTGGTATAGTGAAGGCTACAACAATCTAGTGAAGGCCACGCTGGTCTAGTGAAGGCCACAACAATCTAGTTAAGGCCACACTGGTCTAGTGAAGGCCACAACAATCTAGTTAAGGCCACACTGGTATAGTGAAGGCCACAACAATCTAGTGAATACCTCACTGGTATAGTGAAGACCTCACTGGTATAGTGAAGGCCACAACAATCTAGTGAATACCTCACTGGTATAGTGAAGGCCACAACAATCTAGTTAAGGCCACACTGGTATAGTGAAGGCCACAACAATCTAATGAAGGCCACACCGGTCTAGTGAAGGCCACAACAATCTAGTGAATACCTCACTGGTCTAGTGAAGACCTCACTGGTCTAGTGAAGACCACGCGGGTTTAGTGAAGACCTCACTGGGTCCAGCGAATACCGCACTGATCTAGTGAAAACCACACGGCTCTAGCGAAGACCGCACTGGTTTGGTTTAGGTCACACCAATCTAATTAAGACCACAATGGGCTACTGAAGACCACGACCATCCAGTGAAGGCCACGCGGCAATCCAACGTCTCACGTCAACTCACCCGGCGAGTCTGAGCGATGCTGATCACGCCCGGACCACGGAGCCGCCTCTTGATGCTTCTGCGGTTCCGTCTCCTGCTGGGTGGCTCCATCCTTGGTGGAGGCTCGATCCGAAATCCAAGCGGAGGCGCCGTCTCCTTCCATAGCAGCCCCCCCCCCCCACCAATTTAATTCTTTAAAAAATCAAATTCACTCTTACACTACGCTCTTACAATATACATGCACGGGCTAATACAATTGCAACGATTTAAAACGATGATGACAATGTATGTGCTTAATGAAACGAGATCAATGCACGGCTTAGCTTTGATGCGATATCAACAGAACGATGGCGAATTTGCTGAATTATTTACGTGATAATTTTATACAATCGTGCTATTATGTTTAAATATACAATCGTACAAAAAAGGGGACAGCTCGCGATCACGAGAGAGAGAGATGATATGAATGCTCGTGGCGTACGTTCTGTGGCAGTGGAGGGGAGAGTGTGTGTGTTAGTAAGACAGGGTGTGTGTGTTAGCTAGACAGGGTGTGTGTGTGTGTGTGCACGTGCGTGCGTGTGTCTCTGTGCTCGTTCGTGGGAGGGATTGCGAGCTGCGCCGGCGAATTGAATCTCAGGGCGAGAGAGAGTTGAAAAGAGAGGGGGGGAGGGAGCGTGAGAGGGGGGGAGAGCGAGACCGTGAGATAGGGAGAGAGCGAGAGGGGGGGGAGAGAGCGAGAGGGGGGGGAGAGCGAGAGAGAGGGGGGGGAGCGAGAGGGTGGAGGGAAGAGAGAGACCGAGAGAGAGGGAGGGGTATGGAGAGAGGAGGGAGGGAGAGCGTCAGAGAGGGAGAGCGTGAGGAATGAAGAGAGGGGGAGAGAGCGTGAGATAGAGGGAGAGCGTGAGAGAGAGGGGGAGAGAGAGAGTGAGAGGGAGAGCGTGAGATAGAGGGAGAGCGAGAGAGAGGGGGAGAGAGAGCGTGAGATAGAGGGAGAGCGTGAGGAATGAAGAGAGGGGGAGAGCGAGAGAGAGAGGGGGAGGGAGCGTGAGATAGAGGGAGAGCGTGAGATAGAGGGAGAGCGAGAGAGAGGGGGAGGGAGCGTGAGATAGAGTGAGAGCGTGAGGAATGAAGAGAGGGGGAGAGCGTGATAGGGAGAGCGAGAGAGAGAGGGGGAGGTCGTTTCCGTGCAGTCTGAACAGTCGCGACACGCGAGAGGGAGGAGAGTGGCTGGGATAGGGAGGGAACAGAGAGGATGGAGAGAGTGGGGGTGGGGCAGGGTCTGTGGTGCTGATGATGATGATGTGTGTGATGATGATGTGTGATGATGATGTGTGTGATGGAGCTATGCTGATATGATGGGGGCGTGCGATGTGGACGACTGGCTTGTGCAGTGATGTGCGTGGCGGTGTGTCACGGCCAGGTGCTCGCCAACAGCACTTGCCCCAACAGTTTGTTCAGGCTATACGGGGGATCTTTGTCTTGTGTGTGACGGCCAACACCAGTGACGATTATCTGAACCGGTGCTGGGCCTCCCGTAGGTCGACTCGGCCTCAAAATGAGTACCTGGTGCGGTGCGTAAAAACATCGCCACTGGGGAGACAAAGGCGGCCGGGTGTGGTGTTGGCCACCCACCACCCTCGTGTGCCGTGCCGGCCTTCATAGTTGCCAGATAACACCACTTGCTCCAATAGTCTGCTAAGGCTATACGGGTGGATCTTTGTCTTTGTGAGACCTTACGCAATATGGAAACATCGCCGCGAGGGAGACAAAGGCGGCCGTGCGTGGGTCTGGCCACCCACCCCCTCGTGTGCCGTGCTCGGCAACAGCACTTGCCCACCAACACACTCTTGTTAAGGCACCGGGGACCTCTCTCTGGTGTCGGCCAATCAGTTTCAAAGACAAGCACTACAATGACAATAGTTTAAAGCGATTTGAAGCATGTCTTTTTTTTTTGGGGGGGGGGGGGGGCAGAGCTTTGTGACGCCGTGTGACGAGGGGGGGGGGATCAAAAATCGTCCAGAATCGCGTGACGTCATTTATGGACGGCCCCTTACCAGTGCATGTTTGTGTTGGGCATGTTTTGCCCACAAAGTATGCCTGGTTAACGCAGACGTTGTGATTCGCCTCGGAAAAGGGGCAATGTATGCCAACAACATCACTGCCGTGCCGTACTGTACCGCGTGCAACGCGCCGCACGCACCTGATGATTGATGTGCACGTCCCCGATGATGATTGTGGTGATATTCCGAACACAACCTCCCCTCCCCCTAGCCAAGTTGCTTAACCCCATCCCGCCATCCTCCACGTGTCCCACATAATAATAATTCAAATGTATAATGCGGATCCTAATGTGCAGTGCATAGAAAGCAGGAAACAAAAAGAGAACTAGGGGCCAACCGACAACACGGAAGAGGGAAGGCTCCTTTTAAAGAGACGGGGTTTTCAAAGCAGACGTAAATATATATCTCTCTCTGCCTACTCTCATTTCATGATTTCAAGTGGCGAGGCGTTCCGTAGCTTGGGTGCCACGCTCACAGAAGCCCGATCGCCAAACAGAGCGCAAACCCAGACCCTGTAGTGCCGAGTCGATCAGAAGATCTTAAGGGCCTTGATGGAATATATACATGTATTAGTTCCTGCAATATATATAAAAATAGCGTCGTGTGCCTTTCCCATTCCTCCGACTCAGAACCTACAATCCCGATCCCCACGGCCATCATCCCATCATCTCCGGACCGCCGTGACACGCTTGCACCCGTGACCATCTGCGTCCTGAACGTTTCCCGTTGGGTGAAAGCGGTTTGTTGTGAAATCTTTAGACTTTAACAAAAACAAACACACACAAGCACGAAGCTTACTTCCCCCTTTTTTTTCTCTCCTCCACGAAAAGCCGAACTCAAGGCGGTGTATCATGATTCTCCATGCCCAAAACGTGCCGAATGTTGTTGCATCGCAGGCAGTTTGGTCTCGGGCATCAAGGTCGAGTTAGCTCCCGTCCGTCGCGCGTGAGAAACAAACAAAAAACACAACGGAAAACTTGAAGATGTTCGCACTAACGTAGATTGTATATACAAACACACACACACGGGAGAGGTTCTGGTCATCCCCGGAGGTCAACTCAAGTCTTAAATAAGCATCAGATGTTGTATAAATAAAATATCCCCACCCCCGCCGCCCCCAATGGGTAGGATACACAACGGCTGTCAGAGTGTTGTGCTGGTCACACACCGGTCTTAATGGGTGGCCCGCTAAAGGCATTAGCGGCTCCAAACATCTGTATGGTATGGCTATTGATATAAAGATTATTTATTTGACCAGGTTTGGCCCACTGTGCTGTACGGCTCCTTTTTCGGAAGCGACCTGGCTACCACAAATACAAGCTCAGGCAAGCGGCTTCATGTGGAGAGAGACACTGCAAACTCCAAATATACAGCAGCAGCAGGCGGCATCGTCAGGGTCGGGATCGAACCCACGCGCTCCTGTATACCAGGCCAGGTAGTCAACATCTCCTGGTCCCCTTGGCACAGTGGAGATCATTGTGTCCACAACAATTAGCCTTGCACAGCTGTGGAGGGGGGGGGGGGCAGTCGGGAGGGGAGAAGATATACAAGTCGACATTTGCTGGAGATTTTAATGAGCGACTGGGTGACCAGAGGAGGACGCGATACATGGCAGGAGGTGAGTTAAAAGGAGAAAGGGAAAGAGGCGGGGAGATAAGTGTATGGAGAGGGGATAGAGAGAGTGGGAGAGAGGCGGGGAGATAAGTGGATGGAGATAGGGAGAGAGAGGCGGTGAGATAGGTGGATGGAGATAGGGAGAGAGTGGGAGAGAGGCGGGGAGATAAGTGGATGGAGAGGGGGGAGAGAGAGGCGGGGAGATAAGTGGATGGAGAGGGGGGAGAGAGAGGCGGGGAGATAAGTGGATGGAGAGGGAATAGAGAGAGTGGGAGAGAGGCGGAGAGATAAGTGGATGGAGAGGGGGGAGAGAGAGGCGGAGAGATAAGTGGATGGAGAGGGGAGAGAGAGTGGGAGAGAGGCAGGGAGATAAGTGGATGGAGAGGGGGGAGAGAGAGGCGGGGAGATAAGTGGATAGAGAGGGGAGAGAGAGGCGGGGAGATAAGTGGATGGAGAGGGGGGAGAGAGAGGCGGGGAGATAAGTGGATGGAGAGGGGAGAGAGAGAGGGGAGAGAGAGGCGGGGAGATAAGTGGATGGAGAGGGGAGAGAGAGAGGCGGGGAGGAGTGTAGGGAGAGATAAAGGGAGGCGGGCGTGGGCGGAGGTCGGGGTCGGGAGAGATGGGCGGGAGGGCAGGAGGAGAAAAAGACGGAGGAGGGAAGAGATGCAGAGACAGAGAGATGCTGGGAGGAATGGCAGGAGGGGAAGGAGAGATGCACGCGGGGAGGGAACCCGACAGAAAACGTGAACAGTCCGGCAGGGAGGGATGGCGAGAGTGCGAGAAAAGCCACTTGGGGAGTAACAATAATCCCGCGGTGCCATGTTTAAGCCACATCAATTGTGACCGGGTGGCAGTGGGTGGGGTGGGGGGCTAGGGAGTGGCGTCGTTCTGCCTGACACGAGCAGGACGTGCGTGCTCCTTCAACAACACGGAGCCTGGCCCACATACAGACAGCCCCATGGACAACGCGTGAACGACATGGACAAGACAGCCCCATGGACAACGCGTGAACGACATGGACAAGACAGCCCCATGGACAACGCGTGAACGACATAGACAAGACAGCCCCATGGACAACGCGTGAACGACATGGACAAGACAGCCCCATGGACAGCGCGTGAACGACACAGACAAGACAGCCCCGTGGACAACGCGTGAACGACACGGACAAGACAGCCCCGTAGACAACGCGTGAACGACACAGACAAGACAGCCTCGTAGACAACGCGTGAACGACACAGACAAGAATGTTCACTCTCTAACTCGGACACCGGACTCCCGGGGTGTGGGGCTGTTACCACCATCTCGGAATTAATTCGCAATTAATCCCTGCTGGCTTGAATTCGGGGGGAGGGCAGGGGGGGAAGCGTGAGGTTATTGCGGTGAGAGCAGTATTTGTTACACTGGGATACAATTCAAGTGAGATCATGAGGTTTACATGCTTAAAGCTTCTTACAAATACCCAAAGATCCCCCGTATAGCCTTCACAGACCGTTGAGGCAAGCGGCGTTAGCGAGCCCCAATGCGGACCAGCACAGCACACGAGGGGGTGGGTGGCCAGCACTACGCTCGGCCACCTTTGTCTCCCCAGTGGCGATGTTTACACATCGCACCAGGTAGTCGTTTTAGGCAGAGTCGAGCTAAGGCCACACACGCACGCGCGTGCCCCCCATATATAAGTGCTCAATCCTGAAATTCGGATGACGCGAGCAACATATTCCACATCTTTTCACTTATAATAATGTTAATTTATGAAACGTCCTTACACAATTAGCGGAAATAGTTTAACACCAATCAAGGAAAGAAGAAGTGAGAAAGACGTTTTGAAAATAACAAGAGAGAGAGAAAGCCATTTTTCAACAGACAAGTTTTTAGTCGAGATTTGAAGATTTGTAAAGTGTCTCGGAATTCGTGACCTCGAAGAGGCAACGAATCCCAGAGTTTAGGTGAATTGCAAAGGCACCGTCACCCTTCAAGTGTGCAGCCTCGACCGTGGTGACAGTGAGCAGCGCACAATCTGAGGATCTTAATGATCTTGATGGAATATTCGTGGCTGAATGAGGTTATGAATGCAGGGAGGAGCGAGTGCATTGAAGGCCTTGAATACCAGCAAGAAAATCTTAAAATCAAGACGGGTATGGGCAGGGATCCAGTGAAGGGACAGCACCACAAGGTGTGATGGTGAACCTTAAATAATAATGCAAACGTGATATTTATTTAGCCGAGGAAGCCTCGTCAATTCTCACGACTCATTTGCAGGAGGGTCCTGAATCGGAATGTTTGTCCAGCTCCTTATCAAGATTCCAAAACAAAAATGTATAGAAATCTCTAAACATAGAACTACGAAACGTCGTAGTTTTTTTGTTATTTTCTTTGAACCTATCTACGTGACTTTACCGAAAGACCCAAACATATCTCTAAACATAGTTCGGAAATCCACCTGCTGTCGTGTCGTATGCTGTACTGGCCACCGCATATCCTAAGGGAACATTATAGTCTCATCTTTGAAGTTTCACCAAGTCCCAAGACTCTTATTCGAGACGGTGCCACATTTGGATGTTTGGCCAATTCCAAGTTTAAATGTTTTGGCTTCACGTGGCGTGTAGTGACCGTGCTTGTCACTGTATGGTGCCGGGGCTTGCGAAGCCACGGCCGGTGATGTGTTGTCATTACGGGCAGCCCTGGTTACGGGATGTAGTACCGGCCCTAGCGGGGCTTGGGTGAGCGCTGGTGAGCACGGAGGCACCGCGAGCAGTGAGCGGTGCGGGTTCCCGGTGAGGGAGCGAGAGGGAGCGTCAGCCAGCCAGGGTTACGTTGGGGCATGAAACGCTGGTTGACCTGCTGACACGTGACCGGATGATATTGGAGGGGGGCCACCGGTGGACGGGGGTCGTGGGGCGGTCACGTGGTCCAAAGGAGCTCTAGTGAACCTTCGAGAAAAAGCTCGAGAGGCCTGGAAGGTGGGCGGGGCGATGGGCGGAGCCAGCCCCAGTCCAGGGGCATATAACAAGGGCTCCGTGAGGAGCTCGGGGTTATTCGTGTGCCGGTGTTACGAAGATCCACGTTGGGGAGAAGAAGCCTCGAGCCACCCGGTCCGGGACGCAGCTTGTGGTCCGGACCGGGATAGCGAACCATGTCTAGTTCTGCCTTAGCGTGGTGAGATGGGCATTCGAGACCCGAGTGTAGATCGTGTTGTTACGTATTAATACGGAATAAATAGTGTAGCTCCCAAGATAACGTCTGCGACTCAGTTGGAATCACGACAGGAGGAAACTAGAGATGTCGGCTAGCAGTCATCTATACATGGGATAAAAACTAAGCAATAAACTATATTTTTATTTTACCAGCGATGAAGCTCTTTTTAGGCAGCTACCTGGATATTACAAATGATAGTTCAACAAAGTGGCTTGTCATGTGGAAATTTACAGCAGCCCAAATACTCCAATCAACTGATGAGGCTGGTTGCAATTACCGGCGAGACGTCGTACTCAAATTGTAAAGGTTGTGGGTTCATTCTCCAACACACCGGTGTGCTGAACTAGTAACGAATTGGCACGTTTTGTTTACGTGACAAACCTTTACAAATTGGCTGTCGGGTGGTGGAGGTTTGACACATTTATATCTATGCGATCTAACCCCATAATGTTGGTCGCGAAAGCCTACGTGTTAAACCAAAGTTAACATTGTTAGTCCGCCAATCTTTATGCTTTCCATTGAGCAATGCCAAATAGCCTAAACGACACTCGTTTGTTAAACAGTAAAAGGATAATTTTATTTGAGCATGTACACCAATGCCAACATGCTCCTTTCATTTAAATATTTTTATTAGAATTACAAACAAGTTAAATATTGACGCAGCATAATTGTAGTTTAATTCATATTCAGTGGTGGTCAATTTCTCAATGACATGCTTCAAAGTGGCACTGAATTCATGACAACAATTTTAAACCCTCGCTCACTTATGCCTTCGCCAAACGCACAATTAAATTATAATGCATTCACAGAGCAGGCTGCTGAAATACAAACCAAGTGCACGCACACCCGTAACGAGCCATCAGTGCAAGGCCTGCAAATTCTTACGTGAAACTTTACGTCTGTGGATAAATATATAGAGACAATCTTCGAGTGTGCCCTCTGTCACCCATGATCACCATCGACCATACACTTTGGCAAGAAATCCGTGCACTCTAACGCGAGAGCGTTTGCAGACGCGAACCCCGCTCGGGTGAGCGGAACAAAGCGCTCCACTCGCGCAAATGATCTCCTCGGTCCAATGGACGTTTGAACTGCGCTTGCGGGCATCACAACTACTCGGCTGGCATGAGATGGCAAACTGGCAGAGCCGAGATGGGGCATGCTGATGTAACGGTTAAAATCTAGGGTTGTTCAACGATGACCGCCAAGGTTAACGCGTAGGATTTCACGACCAATATTGTCCATAACAAAGGTTGTTTTGGGTTAGATCGCGAAGATATAAATGCGTCGTTGAACGCACTACCACCCGACAGCCAATTAGTAAGGTTTGTAAATGTTGCGGGTTTACTCTCCAACACACCGGTGTGCTGAACTAGTAATCAATTGGCACGATAGTTTACGTGACAATCTTTACTAATTGGCCGTGTCGGGTGGTGGCGGATTTACCAACACATTTCTCCTTACGCGATCTAACCCAAAAATAACCCATTATGTTTAAACGTTTTTGGCATCCACCACCGGTTTTTGACATCGACTGCTGTTAAGAGATAAAGGTGCAGCCCTGCAATTTGCTTGCTCAAAACCACTGCTGGCTGAAGGGGGATCTCCCACGCTGGCCACTACATCTTGGTGAAAATACCCACGCTGAACCCCATCACGTGCGGCGACCTGCCGATCAACTAACCAGGGTTGCGCCCATTTATACTGCTGGGTACGCGGAAGCGGTCGATGGGGTGGGAGTGGGGGGAGGAGAGGGGTATTTCAGCCGCCGCGCCGCAGATGAAATCGAACCGGCGACCTCTGGACTGCAGTCCAGTGTGCCGACCGTTACTCCGCCGTGGCAGCTCCTTTGGTTTCTTATTAAAGCAAAAAAAAAACACGTTAATCGCTCAAACATTTATACGTTTTGGTAACCGGTAACCATTTCATTTTTTTTCACCAGTCTTTATCAAGCGGTTAATGGTAACGCAAACACGCGACTTTTTCGACAACCCCAAGTCCAAAGGCAATCAGTCCGACCGATTGTCTCCGCCGCCGGCAATAGGGGAACGTTGCTGTAGTTTGGATAGGAATCGTACGGAAAGGGACATTCGCAAAAACGCGTAACATTGGGCCCAACCGGGTCAATTCCCTTCTTGAGTGCAAAGTGACGCACATCAGCTCTGGCACGGTGGGGTTCGAGGCTGCTGCTAAAGTGGCAACGACAAAGCCGCTTTTGGGTTCATGCACGGACGAAAGTGTCCTTTCAATTCCAAGGCGCACACTTTTGATCGTGCCGTTTGTCGCTGGCCGTTTGACGTTTTGGGCCTTTGGGGGCATGCGCGCACTCGGCACTCGCCTCCATTCGTGCATTCGGGGAAGCGCTTATTTCCACTTTTATTTACGTTTCAGTGTGAGACTGGCTTGTAGAAAACGAGCCGCCACTGTGGATTCTACCAAGCGTATAAACAATAAATCATTTGAAACAGATTCCTGCACTCACAAAATACAAGCGCTGAATCACGCGAGTAGCAAATCGGCCTAGAGAGTAAGTGATGATTATAGCCTCCATCCTGAATCGTAACAAATTTTTGAATCAATATAGATTTGAAGTTTTTGTGAACGAACAGACACAAAAAAAAGTGCAACCCTGATTCATGACAACTTTTTTGGAATCGTTGAGTAAAATAACATGCCAAATCGTGATCCCATAGCACAATTTTTTATCATCACGGAGGAGCCAAATAAAGTACATTTGTGAACCATAATCATGACAATTGTTATAAGAGGGCAAAAAAATCAATTCACAGCCCCCAAATTAATAATTATGGCATTATGCAAGGCACAAATATAAAAATTCGTAATTCCAAATAAGAATCACAGTGTACCTGTAAAAATATTTATATTTAATTCCCCAATCATTACAATTTTTGGGATTTACGTAGGGCCACAAAAGAAATCTATTGGTGATCCCAAATTATAACCCTTTTCAGAATCACGGCAGGCAAAATTATAAATTCGCAACTTGTGATCATAACAATGTTTATAATGGCAGAGGGATAATGATAATTACATTTGGGACTGTGTCAGGAAAACTTGAGTAATTACGTGGGAGAAGGTAAACCATATAAATTAGCACCAGATCCACCATAAACTGAACTATAAACTATTTTTATTTTACCAGGTAAGGGCCCACTGAAGCTATGTAGCTTTTTTTTAGAAACGACCAGGCCACAAATGACAGCTCAACGAAGTGGCTGATCATGCTGACATTTACAGCAGCCAAATGCTCTAAACGCGTGATGTTGATTCTGAATGTGGAGGGAAAAACCGGAGGATACGTGGTCGCGTGGAGAACATGCTAACTCCAAATATACAGGTGTCAGGGTAGGGGATCAAACCCACGACCTCCTGCATACCAGGCGAGGTAGTTAACATCTCGCCACCATGGTGCTTATGTAGTGCCATTGATGATGACACTATAGTATAGCGACAGTACCGTGTGAGTGGCACTGTATGTGCGGAGCCTCCCCCTGGCACCTGATGGGCATACCAGGGGAGAGCCTGAGTAAACACGAGGGGGCACGTGACCGGATGAGGTGTTAACGAGGACCAGGGTGAGAGGAACACGTGATGTGGGTCCTGAACCCTCACAAAGGATCTGGAAAAGGGGCGTGGCCAAGGGCGGGGCCTGGCCACGCCGCAGGGATAAAGGCCGAGCCCCGGGGGGGGACCGGGGTTGGTCCTGGTTGGGAATAAACCTTCGTCATCGTGGTCTTCGGTCTCCGGTGACGAAGGTTTCTTCCCAGCCAGGACCAACCCCGGTCCCCCCCGGGGCTCGGCCTTTATCCCTGCGGCGTGGCCAGGCACCGCCCTTGGCCACGCCCCTTTTCCAGATCCTTTGTGAGGGTTCAGGACGTCGTGCACGTGGACCAGGCAGCGTGTTGGATGTCCTGATCCGATTTAGTCGTCCCATCCAGAGTGTAAATAGCCATTTCCCCCAAGTGGATATAGTTAAGTATAGCAACGGTGGGTTACCACTCTATGTCGTTATCCCGTTAGTGTTAAGAGTTAATGTGATGTTAGTTAATAAAACGTGTTGCCCCCAAGTTCTGGTGTGCGCCTCCATTGAACCAATTTCACTAGCATTACACCCACCTCCTCCTCCTCCTATCCAACCACCCCGGCTCCCTCTTGCTGGGTGAACGGCCCCCAGTGAGACACGGCGGCCGGCCTAACGGGACACGGCCCTCGACTCGGCCTGCTCCATCCTCGCTGTGACGTGAGCCTCCAGGAGCTCTCGGAAATCGTGCAGGAAGTTGTACTGCTGCAGCGGAGAAAGCGGGTGACACGGCGGGGGTGGTGGGACGGGGGAGAGGAGCGGTGAAAAGAGGCAAAAGTCAAACGGGGGGGGGGGGGGGTTACGACCAAGTGAAGCCTTCACGGCGAGGCTGTGTGTTGAGCATAGATAATTATTGCCGTGCACTTTTAAGCACGGCGGCCCACCTGCACGGTCTGTATGGCTGCCCTCCCGCGCAACTCGCACAGCGCCGCTATCGCGTCCTCGGGGCTGAGCGACTCGGAGATGCGCAGCAGGAAGCAGGCAGCCACTGCGCACGCACGCAGGCAGGCAAATACACGGACCGACAGCTGGGCTGACGGACAGATGATACGACGCAATACGATTGGGATTCATGTATTACGTTCTCGAAAAGACACCCTCCGCGGACATGGAGGGGATGAAATAATTTACTGGGCAGGTGGCTCGGTGGATTGTTACGTCGCAGGACCGTGTGAGACGGCAACGGCTTGGGGAGGCCCTCATCTGACAGTGGATTGATTTGGACTGGACGATAACAGTGAATGATTAAACCCCCCCCCCGCTGGGGTTAAGATATTGGACGGATTGACCGTCATGCAACGGACATTGCTCTCATGTGGCAGGACGGCTGGAAAAAGTGCTGCCCCCTACCGTGTGTGGATCAGAAGAGATATCAGAGGTAGCTCTGCGATATCAACTTCCACGGGCTGTTCTCTAACACGATGGTTTGTACTGCTCTGCGAAAAGATACAAATAGATTCTTTTTATCACACGACCCTAATGGCGCCAGTGGGGTAAACGTAAAATAAAGGAAGATGGAAATGATCGTGAATATAATAATGATGTGCAATGTGCACAGGGACTCACATAGACAGGAGCGACCCAGGCCCCCGTAGCAACTGCAAAAGGCAAAACAATAAACATCACACGATGTGCATTGCATATTCTTCTTTTTTTAACTCTGGCCCCCACCAATGCTCAAGATAATCCAGTTCCATCTCATATCTGAGAGTAGTAATTTTAGCAAATGATTTCAGCGGTGTGCTGGCCCTTTGCTCTGACTCTGGTATATAGTATTAGCCTTGTGAGTCACCCAACCACCCAGGGCAAACATGACATAGAAAGGTCAGGCTGTCCCTGGCTAAAGACCAAGATAATGCTGGGGGAAAAATTATGGCAATGATTGCCAACAATCGTCACCAGCAGCAATTGTTGCACCGTTTCCTATTCGATGGTTCGACTTTGTCATAAATGTAACTTTTGAATCTGCGACCGGTGTCCTAGCGATCGAGAGCTCAGTTAGACGGAGGAGATGGCTGGCACTTTGTGGACGCGCAAAAAACTCACTTCAGTTGGCGGGCGACGTTCTAAGTGTGGAGCGCGACCCTTAAACGAATAGCTCCGCCCTCCCCATGGTCGCCGTCCTCCACCAGCCGCTGTGATCCGTGGATCAAACAAATCACTCGAGACGCCGGTACTGGATGGCAGCAAGAGCAGTTCATGCGAATGCTGCCGCGAGTGGCCGCACATTTGGCGCAACGGTCCTTTGCCGACTATGCGTGACGAATTAATGAATTTGCGATTCCAACAAAATCACGATTTGCCCAGATCCCGGACAAATCCGACCGCCGCTCCCCCGAGTGGGCAGTTGGTACGGTAACGCCAAATCAGAATAGCAGAATTGGGCGTGACATTACGACCGTGTTAAAGCTTATCTGTTACAAATTGCATAGTGCCTCTTGTTGCTGGCCGCTTAACATGTTGGAATCATTGGGCCCTGTGCTCAGCAACTGTGTTTAAAAAAAAATTCATCAATTCAGAATCTGGTACTTTGTAGCCATTTAAGCGAATGTAGAATATCTGGTGACTGCACAGAATTGCAAACATTCGATTCTGACACACGTGATATTCACATGTAAATAGTTATATAGGAATTGGCCAAACATCCCGATTCTAGGCTCTCTGTGTTAAAATAGTCATGAGACTCAATGAGGCTTTCACAGATAAGTAAATGACTATTCAGCAGGCCTGTTAAGTGAAATGCCCAACTATTTGTAGAGTTGTTGGACAAGAAAAATCATGCATATGCACGATTCTTCTATTACACTTTCAAACGTGCGTTTAACACTTAGGCTTTTGCGACTAATAATTAAAACGTGTGTTTGTCCTCGGATGTATTTTGTTGTTAACGATGACTCGACGTTTCAAGTCACAGGGCAACACAGACGCTGCACGTAATAATGAAGTAACAATGACGCCGTATTGGAGGGGAGAAGTGTTCACTCTTGCCGCCAGAGCGCAGATGCCGGAAATATAATTTTCCCGGTGTTTTCTTTTTGGTTTCCAAGTGTTCAGCAACCCTTTGATAAATTTGGCCAATTTGCAAAACGGTAAGTTCGAAGGACCCTTGGTCCATCTCAATCGGGATAAAACTGTGCCAAATTAAAACAGCAACCAAATGTAGAATTGTTCTCGTGATAATTGTCGTCTGTATAATAATTGTTCTTTAACTCACCGGTGAGCCGAAACAATAACAATTGGCGCTTGAAACGTTTGTACGGTTGACAATTAATTTGCACGGCTGTGTCGGGCGATGGTCTGAATAACAGATATGTCCAGACCATTACGCGGCCTAACCCAAATCCAATGACTAATAACTAAACTATAAACTATTTTTTATTATTATTTTACCAGGTGAGGCCCACTGAGCTATCACAGCTCTTCTGCAGTAGCGACCTAGCCAAAATTCATAGTTCAAGGAAGTGGCTTATCATGTGGAAATGTATAGCAGCCAAATACTCTAAATGCGTGTTTCTAAATGTCGAGTGAAAAACCGGAGGACCCGGAGGAAAATCCACGCGACCACAGGGAGAGAGGCACGTAAACAACAAATATACAGCAGGCGTCAAGGTTGGGATCGAACCCACGACCCTCCTGTATACCAGGCGAGGTAGCTCACACCTCGCCACCGTGGCGCCCTCTTACAAAATCACAACATTGGCTGCGAAGTTACCAACGCATCATCAACCACGCGGGACGTACTGGACGAGCACTCTCCTGCCGGCGCCCAGGGACCCGTGCATCGTGTCCAGGAGGGCGCAGCACCGCGCCATGTCGGGAACCGCGCCGTCGAGCACCGGCTCGTGATGCACAAGCAGGCCGCGGCGGGCGTAGGCCTCCAGCAGGTCGGGCACGCGGCAGTGGACCAGCTCGCCGGGCGTGCACAGCACCAGCACGTCCTGCACGCCCTGCGCCTGCACCTCGTCTGACCGCACGACCGCGACGACGGAAGGTGGGGGGGGAGGGGGGGGGGCAAAGGAGGATGCGAAACAGGGTGCCCACACATAAACCAGCGTTCTTAACATCCTTCACTCCTCCATCATCACCCCAACAGTTGAATCGATTGGCGGTGACCTCAATAACTCCAAAACCAGAAGGCCTATGAAGATGGGAGATGTCACCGAGCCCGATACGCACGCCAAATATGGAAATAAAAAAAACACGCAAAACACACCATAAACAAGGGTGGCTGCTGGGGATTTGTGCGTGGCAACGGCTGCTTATTGCTTGTTGTGAAAGTACATCAGGATGCTGGTCTGGTCATTCCCCAGCACGTTCTGCTTCTTACGGGGGCGGCCACCCCCTTGTCTTTGGGAGCGAGACCACTTGGAGGCAATGGCGCACCAGGCGCTCTCTTGGTACGGCCGGCGGTCATGGTCGTGCTGGCGGGATCGACATCGTCGTCGTCATCATCGCTCCCAGCGTCGCCCTCCGGCAGGACAGGGTGGTAGTACCAGCGATGCTCCCAGAAAAAAAACCTTAAACTACGCCCGGCCCACCAATATTTTGCGGTGACCCAAGCTACCACCAATCGATTCAGCTATCCCTCTCTCCATCAATCCCTTGCTCCCGGGCTCCGGTTGTTCCTTAAAACCCTTCTGAGAATGTATAGGGTGACGGTGTCCGAAATAGAAAAGACAGGGAAATGTCCAATGTTGCTCAATAGATATCGTCATATGGTCTGACCGCTGCACCACCCAAACTGAGAATGCCTTTTCGAAAGGAAAAAAAGCGACCTCACCAAGATCCTTGTCCAAGTTTCTCCACGTCTCCTTGAATTTGCAACCTGTACAGAAAAAAGATCTACTCGAAAAACGTACAGATGGCCAGCACATCTGCTAGTTTACACAAAGCAATCTGGATTTCATGAACGCTAATTGCGTCTCAATGACACGGCGCATACCAAGAGTCTGGCGAGTCGTGTCAACATGAACGTAAATATTGTACGCGCTTTCCAAAATGCCCACGTAATGAGTTGCATCACACTTATCGCAGAAACGCACTAAAGATCCATTCTTCTAATTTCAAGCGGTTGATTGTGACAATATATGGTTATAAGTTTAAAAAAAGCTCAATGAGGTAGCTCCTCACACCGTTTAGCTCCTGCGCTCTGGGCTGACAGGGTGTTCAACGGAAAAGTGCTCTGGAGCAGTCTACCCATTGAACCCACTCCAGGGATCAGTCTAACCTACAGCCCATGGGTCAGATACAGCCCACTGCTTAATGTCATATGGCCTGCGGTCGTACGACGTCTACCACTTCTAAGCAAGCATTTTAGCCACACTAACTGGGTACTGGAGGGGAATGTTTATGACCTGGAAACCAAGTTTCTTATTTTAGTACGCTCGGCGTCAATGTAAGCACCTACTGGAGTCACCAAAGTGACTGAGATGTGTGTGTCATAGTTTGTGTAGATGGCCTGGCACAAGCGTCGTGGTGACGTCACCGCCACTTAGTGGCGAATGGCGGTTGTTGTTGTTGTAGATCGCTGATGTCTGAAATTCATATTTAATCCTCATTATGATGTTTATGCCTCCTCATGTACAATTGACTCGATTATCCGGGGCAATGGGGTGGAAAGGTGGATACCAAAAAATGTATTGTGAAAATATGTAAATGACATGCTTTAAACACGTTTCATTGTTTACCTATGTAAAATGTGATCAAACACATAGAATAAATACATCGCCTCTTTTTAGTGCTCCTTAGAGGTACAGTAAAACCTTGGATTGCGAGCATAATTCGTCCTGGAAACGTGTTTGTAATCCAAAGCACTCATATATCAAAGCACTTGTATATCAGTTGTGATCACGTGACGCTCGGCAGACAAAGCGTATACGTACTACTCGTATTGCAAGACCTCGCTCGTTTATCAAATTAATATTTATTTAAAAATTTTGCTCGTCTTGCAAAACACTCGCAGACCAAGTTACTCGCAATCCAAGGTTTTACTGTAATTGGGTTTATTTGCCAACGTGTTTGTGGTCACATGGGCGCTCAGCCACTGGACCCGACAACTGTGACGTCAGCTCACCTGGCAGGCTGCTGATCCCCAAGTTCAGCGTGGGATAGCCTACCATGGAGAGGTCAAGCCTGGGATGGCAATCACAAAAAACACGACCGCGCAAACACACACACACACGTGTGCGGGTTAGCCAGATGACTCACAGGGCTGAGAGCATCAGCACTCCTCCACTTAGGAACGAATTAGGTTCCAGAGGCCTGTCCCTAAGTCGATTTGTCCCTAAGTCCAACTTTACTCCTATCGATTCCAAACATGTTGTACGGCATGTACACTAAACACGGGGAATGGTTTTAAAAGTTTAATAATTCCGTGCATGTGTAGTGTCTTCAAAAATTACTCACACCAACACGTGGTAACAAGTCACCTGATTACACTTAATTACTCCTGTTCACACGCCTATTGTAGGCACTCCTATATCTATCTTTATTGTCACATACACTTGAATTATCTCTGCTCTGACCCATCCTCAGCAGATGTAAATGCCACCACCGCTATCTATTGCCCGGTGGTTGAACTTACGAACTCTCGGTCCTAACAAGCAACTGGACATATGGGCAGGTTTGTTTGTATGTCTCAAAGTTCCTAAGTCTAATGTTCGTAAGTAGAGTCGCCGCTGTATAATAATATCTTACCTTTCAATGAATTTACATCTTATCTTTATTTTATATTTTGTGGAGCGCCTTAACTCAAGGAGCTTTACATAGGTTAAAAACGGGACAGAAATATAGTGATTTAGATGACCCATGGGCCGAGGAAATGGGTGACCGTAACAAGAGGGCAACGTGGAAGTCACGAAATGGCAGGGGGAGGGATGGACCCGAGTGGAGGAGTGAGGAGAGGGGTGAGGAAGGAAACTGGTGATGGAGAAGAGGTGTAGCTTTAAGAGAGGAACAAGAGGTGGAGGGGGACTGCTTAAGTACATTGGATTTAAGTATAATACTTGTAGGATTTCGCAACCAATATCATCCATAATAGTTTTTTTTGGATTATATTGCATAAATATATCAATGTCATCACATCTACCCCTCTATTTAAAGAACAAAACGGGAGGATTTCTCTGGCTGTCGCCTGATGAAGCTAGTTGTCATTACTGGCGAAACGTTGTACTCTGATTGTAAATGTTGTGGCTTTGCTCTCCAACACACCGGTGTGCCGTACTAGTAACGAATTGGCACGTTCTGTTAACGTGACAAACCTTACTAATTGGCTGCGTCGGGTGGTGGTGGGTTTCACGACACGCTTACATATTTACACGATCTAACCCAAAAAAAATGCCCGTTAAGTATAATACTGTCATTTCATTACTCACAGTTGTAAGGCAGTGCCATAACGATGACCGTGCTCAATAAGTCTGGCCCAGAAACGGCAAGTTATCGACAACGCGTCACAATAACCGGGGGGAGAATCGATTATTTTGTTTGTCTCCTTTCGTGGATGAATGAATGGTGAATCTGGAGACGCGCACCAGTCAATGCGAAAAGGCGGCTGCTCGCTCTGTGCAGGGTCCACCTCTTCGTCCGACGAGTTGAACTCGCTCATGCCGTGAGCTGCTGTGTCCCTGTAGACCAATCACACACACGCACACACCACGGTGCGCCGAGGAGGATAAACGGGGCTTCCGAGTTTTCCTTTCGCGCCTGACTGTGGCTTATTTTCAGTGACGTATGTTGAATTTTTTTTCGCACCATACGTAGCCAACCGTGCTCATCGGCATTCACGAATCTTTTACAATGCTTTTGAGACGCACAGCCTTTTTAGCGTGTCCAAACATATTAACTACATGGGGCCTTTTTTATGCCAGTATCAAAGTATGAAAAAATAAGAATAGGTGTTTACCCTATCTGGCAATAAAACAGGTGTTCAGATGCTCAAACAACAAATAGAAACATTTTCCTCTCACACAGCTTAAAGGTCGTGATCTGAACGTGGCTCTTTCACTCCAGCGCTGTCCTACCAGACAGTCTCGTCCCTTCACCTGATGAAGGCCGCTTGTGTTGTGGCCGAAACGTCGTGAGAATATTATTGTGTTATTTTATTTTATCAATTTATTATTTTATTCTCATTCTACGTGACTTTACCGAAAGAACCAAAGAAGATGAATCATTGCAGTCACGAAAGCTTTAAATCGAAATTTTGCAAGGAGTCAAAGTCTGCATGAACCACAAGGTACTTATATTTGTACTTGTGGTGAACATGTAAACAAACATGATCTGATATTTGCCATTGTCTTTGAAACTGATTGGTCTACACCAGAGATAGTAGAGCCTTCTTTGTGGCCGAGTCTCACCAGTCTCAGACCAGAGAACTCCAAAAGGCAAACATGTGGAGGGATTGGGAATTTAAGAAACATGCCCTGTTGCTTTAGTTCATAGTTCATATATTTGGTATAGCCCTGTGAGCCATTCGGCTCTTGAATCGGGTGCAACCGCAACAAACAAAAAACATGAACAAGAAAACATCTTAAAGTGACTATGTGACTGTGCAAACAGAAAATACAGGAAAAAAATATCAAAATATTCCTGAAATAGCACCGTACACCAACGCTGTGTGCAAAAATCTCAGTGGGATGCACGTCAAATAACAACAACAACCACAAGACAACTAAGATTAAGGCCATCAGTCTAACTCCGTACTACAATTAACTGGTGAACCCTGGATGTGGTAACCCTTAACACCACGGCAGCATTCACACATTCACTCTACAAAGTGTACGGATTTTTTTCCCGTGGTATTCTCCAGAAAAAGGCAAGCAACGCAGCCGTTTCAGAATATCTGGTTCCAAATCCTCGTTAATGTCAACTGAGCCTTGTCCACTTTTTAAAGCCCCTTGCATTGCTCTAGGGCCTAGTCTCGCCAGTCTTCCTGTTAAAAAAAAAATGTTTCGGACGGCGTTTGAACGTCTTAACACCTCCTGTTTCATTAGCCCAGAAAGGGTACAAAAAACTTATTCCGGTTTTTGTTTTCACTTACAAACACATTTGCGTCTTCACGTAAATACATCATCACCAACCATGATCGATCCACTGCTCGACGCAGGCCTCACTCAACCACCGCCGCGTATCGCGATCCGACGACAATTACAAAGCCCCCTTGCACACGAACTGACTTACCCCCGTTAATCGCTGCTTTTAGTAGATCTGCCCCCTTATTTATTTTATTAAAGGCGAATAACATTAAAGATGACCGATTTACACGAGGCCTCATAAAACACACGGTCAGCCGACACACCGAAAACACGTTCCCTGGCGCGTGTCAACAATAACAATAACAACAAAAGTTGCGCGAGTCCGACTAAAAAGGGCTGTTGAGACTGAACGCCCAGAAGCACGCACCTTCTTGTTGTTGACGGGAAACGTTGCTGAGAAGTTTAAACCTTTAAGCCACTTTTGACACGCTAAGATTTTGTTACCGCCGGCGACCGCGCGGCTCGAGTTCAAAAATGATCACGTGGTGCGCAAACGCCGCCTCCCGATTGGGCGTTAACCCTGCTTCCCCCCCCCCCCGAGAGGCGCCTCGTGATTGGTGGAGGTCGAGAAAGGGGGGCGTCACCTGGAAGAGGTCTTCTGGATCTGGAAGTGATCTTCTTAAACTCGAAGTTGTCTTCTGAATCAGCAACAAGAGTTCCTCTGGTTCTGGAAGAGTTTCTTCCGAATTTTGATGTTTTATTTCTGATTCTGAGAGGTGACTTCTGAATCTGGAAATAGTCTTCTACAACTGTAAGATATCTTCTGAAAAATCCATGGGTCTTTTGAATTAAAAAAAACGCCTCTTCTAATTCTGGATGAGATTGTTTCGAATTCTTGTAGAGTCTTCAGTTTCATTTATTATGTGTAGCCTCGTGAGCCATGCGGCTCTTGGCTCGGGTGCAACCGCAACAAACAAAACCGTGAACAAGGAACATCTTAAAGTGACTACGCGCAACAGAAATATTCAGGGAAAAACAGCAAAGTCTTCCAGAAAAAGCGCCGTAAATAAACGCTGTGTGCAAAAGTCCCAGTGGGATGAGATGCAAGTCAAACAATAACAACCATAAGACATTCTTGTTTTTTTCGGTATTGCTGTGCTTTTCACACCTGCTGATGATTGCTTGTGTTGCAGTCGAAACGTCGTGATCATTTTATTGTTTTATATTTTTATTATTTTATTGTTTCCCTACTACGTGGTGACTTTACCGAAAGAACCAAGACTATGAATCCATGCAGTCACGAAAGCTTTCAACCAAAACCATGAGACAATTAGAGTCTTCTGGAAGACGAGAAAATAGTTTATCCCGCCCCGCACAATCTCCCGTCCTTTAACAAGAATTAACGGGCTAAAAATAATCTCCCCCGAGCTGATTTAGGTGACAGGCAAGTCATTAGTCAACATTGTTTTACGTCTGTTGCAATACTTTCCATTTCTCATGCGACACAGTTGCATACCTGTCAAGCCCTTATCAGTGCCTTACCTTATTACAGATCAATCCAGACCTTATTGGTCACCCCGTGCCCCTTATAGTTTCATAGTTTAATTTATTTGGTATAGCCCTGTGAGACATTCGGCTGTTGAATCGGGTGCAACCGCAACAAACAAAAAAAACAAAAACATGAACAAGAAAAACATCTTAAAGTGACTTTGTGCATGTGCAAACAGAAAATCCAGGAAAAAACATCAAAATATTCCTGAAATAACGTTCATTTTTAACGTTCATTTTTCGATTTAAAGCTTTCGTGACTGCAGGGATTCATCTTCTTGGTTCTTTCGGTAAAGTCACGTAGAATGGAAATAAAATGAAAAAAATAAAGTTCTCACGACGTTTCGGCCACAACACAAGTGGCCTTCTTCAGGTGAAGAAACAGGTCTATCCAGAAGACAGAGCTTGAATGTTCGTCCTACAAAGTCCAATCACAAGGGAGAAACACAAACAAATAGACGATTTTTTTGCTCGTCTTGAAACGGCTGTACGCCGTATGGATCTGAAAACTAAATTTCTCTGTACGGGGTAAGCAGTATGGGTTGACAGGTATGCAGTTGTTTTTTTAATGTTTGCTTGATTGCTCTACAGCAGGGGCGGGGAACCTTTTTTCTGCCAAGGGCCATTTGGATAATTATTACATCATTCGCGGGCCATACAAAATTATCAACTTAAAAATTTGCCCGTTATATTTGGTCAAACATTTAATTAACTCACCCCTAATGTGATGGGCTGGAACTGCTTCTCTTTGGCAAGGCGTGTGATGATGTTAGCCGGTATTGACGATGTTGCTACTCGCAACTGCTTTTCCAGGTTTGCTCCTAGATTTATTGAATTTCGAGTCCCGCCTGCGGTTGCCTTGGCAGAGCCAGAGACCCAATGATTCCGCGGGCCTTGTATGGCCCGCGGGCTGGACGTTCCCCACCCCTGCTCTACAGGGTGATCCAGATGTCTTGCGACCCCCAATTAATTGAACCCTAAACATTTTTTTCCCTTTGCATATTCATTTCCGTTTTAAATAAACTTCATCTTCAAAATATGACGTTTTGGGGAATTAAATAGGGGTCACAAGACATCTGGACCACCCTGTACTTTGATCCTGATTGTGATTCTTTAATCTCTGAGTTTCGCCTTTCCCACTGGTGACCCAGGTCACCGTTGCAAATGACTCATCGTGGCATCTCGTGTTCTCACCCTGCAGTGGATTGACAGAGGAATATAAATAATGATATTATTGGTTCTTTCGGTAAAGGCACGTAGAAGGGAAACGATAAAATAATAAAAATATAAAACAATTAAATTCCCACGACGTTTCGACTGCAACACAAGCAATCATCATCAGGTGTGAAAACCACAACAAGAAAATTTGAAAAAAGTGGCGGTTATTTTTAACGTTAGCACCACGGAGAGCGATTTGACAGTTTGTTCAGATGGACGAGTCCATCTATGTTCGGAAAAGAGGAGGGGGGAGACGAAAAATAATGGATGCGGTCTGAAAGCCACCTTAAGCGTGATCAATGAATTAAGACTCGAAATTGTTTATCAAATCCTTCCAATGATTGCTAAGCCAGAATCCATCTTCTCAATTGAATTTGTCTCTGTGTTTGTATATGTGGATAGCCTCATGAACGAATCTCTCATGGTAGCCAGACGGCTTGCAAAGAACCTCTGTCTTGGAGAAGTCAATGTCATGTGAACCTACTGAATTATAACAGTGATCTGCCACGGCCGAGGTGTTGGTCCTACGTCGTGAGAATTTTATTGTTTTATATTTTTATTATTTTATTGTTTCCCTTCTACGTGACTTTACCGAAAGAATCAAGAATATGAATCCCTGCAGTCACGAAAGCTTTAAATCTAAATAAATAATGATCTAACGGTTTTTTTTTACAGCAATAATCTAATTGCTGTCGAATGATAAAAACGCCTTCGCTTAATGCGTAATGAAACCACTCTTGCTCATCACCATATACGTTTCTCTCTTAATTGACAATTAAAGGTGACGCACGCGTTGATTGGTTACTCGCGTGAAACGTGTGAAGCGTGCAGTTACATCATTTAATGTCGCTGAAATCAAGACCCGTGCGTGACTTCGAGGGAAAGCGGCGACGTGACGAGGCCTTTCATCCAGCAGTGGATTTCTCATGGCTGTTGACGATTCACCATGCATGTCCGCAATGATCTGATGTTGATCACTCGTTTTTAATGCGCGTTGGCAGTAGTACGTGAGCATAAATAACACGAACCTTCGTCAATAACACTGCCCCCCAAAAATGCAAATGTATGTGACGTTTACGGGTAATGACCCTGATTCATAGCCATCATGTTGATGTATGTTAACTTAATAAGTTGTTAGCCGTGGTCGGGAATCGAACTCAGGTCGCCCAGGTTCATTCCGCGATGCGCTAACCCCTGCGCCACCGCTCCACCCACAAAGCAGGCAAAATACATCGATATAACAAATTACTTTTAATTATTGAGATTACGTATTATTAACTTTATAAATGTGTAAGATTATACAACGTGCGTTCGATAATACATTGCACTTTAGATAATATATTGCACTCCAGATAACAATTTTACTTTAGATAATATATTGCACGTTAAATAATTGTACTTTCTGTAAGATAAAGCACGTTAGATAATGCATTGCACGTCAGAAAGTACATTGTACGTTAGAGCACCGTGTTTGTCAATCTCAGCATCTGCCCCTTAATTAGTTTCAGGGATTGCAGGAATGCTAATCAGCCAGCGGGGCAACTTGGGGTGGGGGGCTTCCTACTGTGAAGAGGGGTGGGGGGTTGATTGAGGGAGGATGAGGTGGTGGGATGTGTAAATCGTGCGGGGGAGGAGAAGGTGATTGAGATTTCAAAACACACATTCACCTCTGCTCGCTGGGGTTTTTTTGGTGTGACCATTAAACACAAGAGCAGAGTTTTTTTTAAGTTCTACAACCTCCAGGACGTTGACAACGTATCCAGTTCAGTTGCTTAAAGAAACTTGGAATAGCAGCATCGTCATCATCGTCAGCAGCAGCAAGAATCACAACAATGGGGACCCACGTGCTAATCTTGCTGCTGCTATCGTTGTTGTTCAACTACGCTCGTCTGCTGACAGCTGGCACTTTGGGCCACGAGACCGCAGACAAAGATTCTCCGGTTCAACCAGGGGTTGATGATGACCTCGAAGATGATCTCAAGAAGCAAGAGATGCACTTTCTTCGGGCCCTGGGTCTCACTGAGCGGCCCAAACCCTCGGCGGCTCGTCGCGCCATCCCGGCTTTTATGTGGAAGCTTTACCGCGGAGGTGCTGATGGCGGTGCTGCTGATGGCGGTGGTGGCGGTGGCGGCGGTGATGGAGGGTCTCGAGAGCGGCCGTGTCGCCTACCCCGATACGGAGTGACCGGCAACATCATTCGACATATTCCAGACCAAGGTGAGCACTTTGCTGGTCAGTGGGGTAAACTCCGATGCTTGTGACCTCTTGGCTGTTGGACCAAAATTTTGCACTCCTATTGTGTTTTGTATCGTTTGTTGCGACGTTCTGACCTGTTCTTACTGGACATGTGTGAAAAGGAGCTTTATAGCTCATCGGATTACTCCAGTATTAATACATATTCTCATCCTGATTATTAACACATTGGATATTGTTATATTTTTTTTAACCGTTGCTGAGCAGCAGGGCTCCAAAGGCTCCATAACGTTAAGCGGCCACCAAAAAAAAAACCGTAACTATGAAAAGTTATAATTACTTGTAGATGAGTCAATACATTTCGAGAATTGAGCAAGGTTATTATTGAGACCTGGAGAGAGAGAGAGAGGAGAAAAGGACGATGGGAAGGATTTCGAATTTCGAGCAGTGCGGAAGAACGAGCGGAAAGAGTCTTGTTGTGACCAGCAGGGTGTATATGTCATTGCAAATCATCCTCGCCAATCGGATATAACTATCCTTACTAATCGAGTTCGAGAGGGGCGGGGGGGGCATCATTTATACCCAGGAACAACGCTGAGTTTCGAATGCCAGCTCGCGCGGTGATGGTGAGCTCTAATTACCTTTTTGTAACGCATTATTATTGAGAGAGGTTTTTGATTTGTTGACCGCCAAACTTACAAATAATTTGAAAGTCACTTGAGTGAAAAAAAAGTTCCCCTAACCCTCGGTCTCAAATGTGAATCTTCATCTCGCCGTGTCCGTTTGATCTGTGTATACATGTCCACGTGATGAGCCACTTTGTTAAAATATCATTTGTGGTCGGGCCCTTCAGAAAAAAAGAGGTAATACCTCCTGGTAAGATAAACAAAAAATTGAAGTTTTAGTTGTCAGTGATTTTGTTTACCTTTGCACTCCTATCGTTTTTTGTATTGTTTGTTGTAACGTTCTTACCCCGTCCCCCTACTGAAACATCTGTGGGGGGGGGGGGGGGTGAAAGAGCTTCATAGCTGATTGTTAATTAAAATTCTCCTCTATCCATCCACCCATCCTCGCGCACAGGCAGCCACGTGGACATTCCGCGGAGTTCCACGACGCGGTCGCTCTGCGCGTCCCGACGTCTCCTCTTCAACCTGACGGTGGCGCAGAAGGCCGGCGAGGAGGTCGGGATGGCCCGGCTGCAGCTGGTCCTGCCGCCAGCGTCCTACGTACCCAAAAGCGGGGAAGTGCCCGTGTATCTCCGTATCTCGGCCATACGCGGAGCGGGAGGGACGCAGCAGCGACTGAGAGCCATTGTGTCGAGCTCCATGAGGCTCTCTCGCTCGGCTTGGACCTTCGACCTGACCGAGGAGGCGCGGAAAGCCATCGGCCAAGGGCAGCTGAGCGTCTTCCTGGAAATTGAGGAGGAGGTGCAGGAAGAGGATGTGTTGTACACCGACGTGGAAGAGGTATCGTTGTCCTCTTCATCGGCGTCATCGAAGCCGCACACAGCGTTGGAAGGTGTATTGTCGTCGTCGTCGTCGTCATCCATGGATCTGTACACAGAATGGAATGAGGAGGGATCAATGCCCTTTTTGTCATCGTCAGCAGCAGCGTCGTCGTCGTCGTCATCGAAGCCGAACGCAGGAGTGGAGGAGATGCCGCGGGCAGCAACATCATCGGCATCGAAGGAACCGAGCCTGTGCGAACGTGCCGAGCAGGAACTTCGCTCCTCGCTGCTCCTCATCTCCATGGATGGCTCTCGGTGCACGACCAGGCGTGCCAAACGGAGCGCATCCCACCACCACCACGATCTCCACTCCCCATTCCCCACGTCACCCGGATCATTATCATCATCCTCCTCCTCAACATCCTCATCATCATCATCATCGTCGTCAGCAACTCCCGTCACTCCCAGCAACGTGTGCAAGCGCCGGAGACTCTACGTCGACTTCCGAGACGTGGGCTGGCACGACTGGGTGATCGCCCCGCAGGGCTACCTGGCCAACTACTGTGCGGGCGAGTGCCCCTACCCGCTCGGCGAGGCGCTCAACGGCACCAACCACGCCGTGCTGCAGACCCTGGTGCACGCCGTGGACCCGCGTGGCGTGCCCCAGCCGTGCTGCGTCCCCGTGCACCTCTCGCCCATCTCCATGCTCTACTACGACAACAGTGACAACGTGGTGCTCCGTCACTACGACGGCATGGTGGTGGACGAGTGCGGCTGTCGGTAGTGCGTGTGGGTGGTTGTTGTGGTGGACGAGTGCGTCTGTCGGTAGTGAGTGTGGGCGGGGACGATTATTTGAACCCGTCCTGGGTATCCCCTAGCTCGACTCGGTCTCAAATGAGTGGCTGAAAGTGTAGTTAGTTAGTGTTGTGGTGGGTGGTGGCGGTGGGTGGTGCACACACAATTCTCACGCAATTATTCTTTTAATTCCAGTGCCATCATTCGGCATTCATCTGGATTAATGGGTTATCTCAGCGGCGATTTGTATAAAGTTGTAATTCAGTCAGATTTAATCACACATTTAATTTGATTGTGAAATTATAGTACCATGTACAATTAGCCTTTCAAAATTTGTATTAATGCATTTACGAAGCGGTTTTTTTACTTGCATGTAATGGTACTGAACAATGCTAAGTTAACCTTATTGTGCAGATATACGTTAAATGTTCATGCTGATTTGTTGGTCTGATATCTTGAAACATAAGATGTGTGTTTGCATCACAACCAACTTTTACAATATACTCTGTTCGAACAATTTATTTTAATAAACTTTTACAGTTTTCCTTACCTTTTTTTGTACTGGTGAGATTTTCATATTTCCCCCCCCCCAAACGTATTCGAACTCTTGAGGTATCATCGTTGCCATAAGTTGAAGAATCCATTTGGAAATCTGCTTGTATGTCCAGAGTGGCTGTTGAGATCTCGCACAGGGCTTCTCTACGAACCCTTAAAATATCCTTCAAGTGTAAATGTTTGATCTTTTTACACACGAGGGGGCATGTATGTATGTTGCACTTCTTTTACACCGTACATAGCTAAACGTGCTAATCGGAGGTTCGGCATACTTTCCCACACTGTTATGGAATTGTTACGTGAACGATGAGCTGAAATTTTTCATTCTCAAGAGTTATAATTTGGTAAAATTCAGTGTGAAAATAAATTGTGTGAAAGTCAGTTGTGACGAGGATGAGATTATCTCCCTCCAGCTACAAGAGACTGCTACATTCACTACAATGTCAAACATTTATTTTTTACTGACAAGTGAATTAAACTGCTGTACTTGATTTGAAGCTTTCGTGATTGCAGGAATCCATACTCTTTGGTTCTTTCAGTGTAGAGAGAATGAGGTTGTGTGTCGCTCTGCTGCCAATAGTTCATTAAACCACCTGTAGTTATATGCTCAAACATGTTAAAGTAGGAAATATTGCAGCACATACAAATAAAACCCAAAACCGTTATATATGCCTCTTGCTGTGTCCCGTTGGTGGTATGTTGGGCAAACAGGTGCTATTTGTGCAAATAATAGTTTGACTGATAATTGTGTTAATGTAACCTTCCTCTTCTTTGGATGTTTCGGTAAAGCCACGTAGATAGGAAAATAATAATTATATAATTAACCATTAATTTATTTAATCAAACAATTATTTTTCTTAATAATACTGTTTTTCTATCTACGTGGCTTTACCGAAAGACCCAAAGAATATGAATTCCTGTAGTCACGATAGCTTTAAGTCAAGATGTAACCTTTCTTTTAAACTAATTTTAACTACTCAAGACCGAGACGAACATTACACGTCCAGATTCTCCGCTTCTCAAATAGAAACAAAATTTTCATTAGTGGACTTTAGCAGGACACATCGTTACATGGGATGATGATCGTGATGATGGCCCGGTGGTCGAGACTTATTACGGAGTGTCAGCCAAGGGAGAGAACACATCCAGACAGCACGTCTGCCGGGGAGATGGAGTGATTAAATCAGCCTGCGTTCCGTCGTTGGGATGGAGCGTTGCAAGGCTTGTGGACAGCCTTCATCCAGCAGTGGATAGAGGAGATAATAGCTGCTGATAATGATGCTTCTTCATTCGTATCGCTGATGTAGACACAGAGCAACAACTACAATTTCACATTGAGGTTGTCAAGCCAAGATAACCGCTGTGATGTCTCATTCGCATGTGGATCGGGCATTGATTGCGACGTTATACTTTGCATGGTCTTGTTCTGGATATCAGAATATCTATTTATACTGGAGGAATCAGATGTGATGCTGATAACTGGAATGGATAATTGATGAATGTCTGCTGCTGCTGATTATGGCGGTGGTGGTGGTAATGATGACAACCTGTGTGATAACACGACTAATTTACAGCCTCTGTCAATCCACTGCTGGATGAAGGCCTCTCCACGACATAATTTGACCATGGTACTTCAACGCTGGCCGCTGGAAATAATCATAATACATTTATGATCCAAAATATAGGGTTTTTTGGGGGGTTTAGATCGTGTAAATATAATTGTGTCATTAAACCCGCCACCACCCGACATAGCCAATTAGTAATGTTTGTCACGTGAACAGAACGCGCCAATTCGTTACCAGTACAGCACGAACCGGTGTGGCGGAGAGAACATCCACAACATTTACAATCTGAGTACGACGTTTCGCCAATAATTACAAGCATCATCAGGCGGAGACAGATTTACACACATTGGTGAGTAACAATACTGGGACTCGCCACGCGGTGGCGCAAAGTGGCCACGCGTGCAGTGTTACAGTGTTTAATATAAGCTTGATTAGAAGCTTTCGATTGAGTTTTCAGTTTCATTTATTTTGGTATAGCCCTGTGAGCCATTCGGCTCTTGAATCGGGTGCAACCGCAACAAAAAAAACATGAACAAGAAAAGCATCTTAAAGTGACTATGCGCAAACAGAAAAATCCAGGAAAAAACAGCAAAAATATTCCAGAAAAAGCACCGTACACCAACGCTCTGTGCAAAAATCCCAGTGGGATGCAAGTCAAACAACAACAACCACAATACGACGTAGATTAAAGCCATCATTCTAACTCCGTACTAACAACAAAAAAAACACATGGCCAAACAAAAAAACTTTTCGAAATCACCAAAATAAAGCCATAAAAGCAAAGTAACAGTGATCATAGGAACTGTGACTTCAGGAATCCATACACCTACGTGACTTTACCGAAAGAACCAAAGAGTAAGTATTAATATAAACAAAGATCGACCCCCGTGTCGCCTGTAACAGACTATTTGAGGCCACACAAGGCGGTGTGTGGCCCAGCAACCACGCCAGGTCGCGATGTTTTTTTATTACACAAATCGCACCAGGGTATACTCATTTGAGGCCGAGTCGACCTATGGGGAGTCCCAGCACCGGCTCGTGATAATCGTTGGTGGCCGCGAGCGGGAATCGAACCCGGGTGGGTAAAGCCGGCGGGGGTGGGGGGGCCGTAGCGCGCTAACCGCTCCGCCACCGCTCCCCGGCATTGGCCACGCGGTGGCGCTAAAGCGGCCACACGTGCGAGTGATACAGTGTTTAATATATTAATATATAGACAACACGCACACAAACACACACACGACACACACACGGAGACTCGCACGCTACAGTACACCCCGTGATGTTTAAAGACAGACGGAGTGCGTGCGTGTGTCACGCCGAGCAGGCGTCAGTAGCCGGCTGATCATCATCATCAGCAGTAGCATCAGCTTCAGTCGTAGCGGCAAGGAGTTTTCACGATCGTCGCTACAATCAGTAACAGCGGCGTTAAGAAAAAGCAGCAGAAGCAAAATAATCATCGGCGGTAGCAGTGGAAGCATGATCATCATCAGCACAAAGCAGTAGAAGCATGATCATCATCAGCAGCAGCAGTAGAAGCAAGATCATCATCAGCACAGAGCAGTAGAAGCATGATCATCATCAGCACACAGCAGTAAAAGCAATATCATCATCAGCAGCAGTAGAAGCAAGATCATCATCAGCAGTGTCATCAGCAGCAGTATCATCAGCAGCAGTGTCATCAGCAGCAGTATCATCATCAGCAGCAGCAGTGTCATCAGCAGCAGTGTCATCAGCAGCAGTGTCATCAGCAGCAGCGTCTATCAGCAGCAGTATCATCATCATCAGCAGCAGTGTCATCAGCAGCAGTATCAGCAGCAGCAGTGTCTATCAGCAGCAGTATCATCAGCAGCAGTATCATCATCAGCAGCAGTGTCATCATCAGCAGCAGCAGTATCATCATCAGCAGCAGCAGTGTCATCAGCAGCAGCAAAATCATCAGCAGCAGCAGCAAAATCATCAACAAGCGCCAGCAGCAGCAGTGTCATCAACATCGTAAACATCATCAGCAGCAGCATCATCAGCATCATCAGCAACGCATCGTTGCTCACCTTTGGGTACGTACGTGTGGTTGTGTTGGAGTAATTTGTGCGTTGTGTAGAATTAGCAGCGGTAATGACGAGGGGAGTCATTAGCTCTACGATGTTGACTATCGCACGTCCGTGTGGGGTTCCACTCAGTCTACACTCGGATCCATTCATCTCATCACACAGTCATCATTACCTCCTCACAAACCTCCTCATTACCTCCTCACAACCTCCTCATTACCTCCTCACAGCCTCCTCATCACTCCCTCACACCCTCCTCATCACACCCTCACACCCTCCTCATCACACCCTCACACCCTCATCACTCCCTCACACCCTCCTCATCACACCCTCCTCATCACTCCCTCACACCCTCCTCATCACACCCTCCTCATCACACCCTCCTCATCACACCCTCCTCATCACACCCTCCTCATCACACCCTCCTCATCACACCCTCCTCATCACACCCTCCTCATCACACCCTCCTCATCACACCCTCCTCATCACACCCTCCTCATCACACCCTCCTCATCACACCCTCCTCATCACACCCTCCTCATCACACCCTCCTCATCACACCCTCCTCATCACACCCTCCTCATCACACCCTCCTCATCACACCCTCCTCATCACACCCTCCTCATCACACCCTCCTCATCACACCCTCCTCATCACACCCTCCTCATCACACCCTCCTCATCACACCCTCCTCATCACACCCTCCTCATCACACCCTCCTCATCATCCTCAACATCATCAATCTCAATATCGTCATCACCACACACCATCCTCAACATCATCAGCCTCCACATCACCAACCTCAATATCAACATACCCTCCTCGCCATCTTCATCATCTTCGACATCACCAACCTCAATATCATCACCCCCTTCACACCGTTCCCCTCACACTATCATCATCAACCTCACACACACACGAGTGCATCTTCAACATCGGTCCATGTACGTGGATTTTTGTCTACATATTAGGATCTCCCTTGTGAGTATTGTGTCTCTAGGGGCGGGGTTCTTAAATCGTGTTTTGCATTAACCGGTAACCGCATGAAAAACGGTTTACCGGTTTTTGCCGTACATACAGACACGCCTCGCAATCTTTAACAGAGAAACCCGGTGGCTTCGACCGCCGTGCGGTTTGTACGTCCGTGCGTACCAACCAGTGTGCATCCGTTAGCAAAATTCCACTGTTAAACCGGTAATCGATTTTGAACAACGGTTATTGGTTTACCGGATCTAGTTTTAAGAACGCCACTGTGGCTAGGAGATGTTGACTACCTCGCCTGGTATACAGGAGGTCGTGGGTTCGATCCAGACCCTGACGCCTGCTGCTGTGTATTTGGAGTTTGCGGTGTGTTGCTCTCTCCCCGTGGTCGCGTTGATTTTCCTTCGGATACCTCCGATTTTTCCCTCCACATTTAGAATCAACATCACGCGTTTAAAGTATTTGGATGGTGCTATCAATTTCCACGTCATAAGCCACTTCGTTGAGCTATTATTTGTGATAGAGCCAGGTCGCTTCTGAAAATGAGCTACATTGTTCAGTGGGCCTTACCTGGTACAATAACAATAGTTAGTTAACCCTAGTCTCTCTTTGTCAAACATCATTGCTTTTATCTCGTAATCTTCCTGTTCCTCATCATCATCATCTCCGCATTCTTTTTTTCCCATCCTGATCAAAATCATCATTGTCCATCCATCACCATCAATATAACAATGATAGTGTCTTCAGTTCTGTTTTCAATGACTATAATCATTGCCCTGATCATAATCTTCTCAGGCATCTTGTCCATTATCGTCATTATCATGGTCATCTCGATAGTCATCTAAATCCGGTTGTCCATGGCAATAATCATCATCATCGTCATCATAATCTCCTCAATTCTGTCGTTCATGATCTTAATTTGTATCGTCCATCATAATAATCTTGACATATAATGCCCTAAATCATGTTGTCCATTATCATCATTGCTTTCTTTTTGTCATTAATTACATTTGTTACTGATAATCTCCCTGTAAAGGGGCTTATTCACAATGATGTCTTCTGTCTGTTCTCAATTAAAGGGCTCTAATCACAGCAATCTGTCCGTGTCTTTCACCCAAGAGAAACGGCTGACATTGAGGGGAGAGACGGGGAGAGAACTCCGTGGTGGAGGAGGACATTGAGAACCCTCTGGAGGAGATCCAGCAGAAGGACCTGGAGGACTTCGAGGAGAAGGTCCTGGTGGAGGCCCTGGAGAACTACATTGAGAAGGCTCCTGGAGCAGCCCCATCGGAGGACAATGCTGGAGGACGTTTGTATGGAATTGGACGACGGAGTCCATAACACTGGGTCCATGGATCCCATGGGGACTTGCGACCCCTCAGGTCTCGAAGATCCTGGTGACCATGGTGAGCCGTTGGACGGGTCCTCCAGAAGATCACGTGCCAGAACGTCATCCCGCCTTTCGGCCGATGCTGTGGAGGAGCTGGGTCCCGAGGAGGTCAGATGGTTCTACAGGGATGAGCGCAAGGCGTGGAAGCCTTTCAATGGCTACGACTCGTTGCAGGTGGAACTTGCATACCGTAGGTACCACGCTAGCGCTGGTGGAGGAGTCGGGGAGGACACAGAGCCGGTGTGCGTGAGGGGTGGACTTTACGAGGTGTCGGTGGCGAGCAAGGAATGTTATCCAGTCTACTGGCAAGGTGAGAGTCATTGTTCGTGTGCCGGCAAAATATGCTTGCTTACATGATAAGAAACTCAATCTGTCCATTTGTGGGCCAGTGTGTCAGTCTCTAGACTTACCCGAACGTTTTTTGTCGTACACAAGTCGAGTTTGGGATCATTCGTGACCAGAGCGTACCGGTAACCTATGATGTTGATGATGAGCCATGTACGACATATGACCTTTGATTTATGTAAGCAAAAGAGCTACCGCATAAGAACATCAACAAGCCGATGTGCGTGTCTCCTTTGCAAGCCACGGTGCTATGACTGGCCATGCAACACAAATTACGGACCGCATAGTAATTCCATAGAGACCTATAGGCATATAGAGACCCGTAGAGACGCATAGAAACATGTAAACATACGTTGAGATACATGGAAGTACATTAAAGATAAACCACGGTAGTGCGATTGTGGCCATGCAAACCAAACTATGGACAGGATAGTAAACCACTTAAGTCTGCGTTACCGCAACGGAGGAGGAGGAGGACTAGCAAAATCTATACGAACTCCGTCTCCTGAAGCCCTCTCGTCTTGGCGCGCAGCATACCTCGACATTGGCATCGAGCTCCTAAACATATTCTGCCATCATGCGCAAAAGAATAGGATGTGTGGTAAAAAATAATAATAACCTGACCGATAAATGTCACCATACAAAACATTTATGGGGTTCTGGAAACTTCTCGACTGGCTTCCCATTTCTCGGATGTTTTGTGGGGAGGGGATTAAATATTTGGAATACATTTCTAAAATTAATAAAAAAAAAACCCTAAGATATATGTACTAGGGGTGTCGTGATGTTACTGATTCACCAATTAATACAGTGCAGTGCTTCACACTTTATGAACCTGGTCACCCGAGTTAAATTCCCTGCTGTGGATAACATCAGTGGCACGCGGTATCTAAACCAAGCCGGTCCTGGGTATGGGCTCCCCTTCACCAACCCGTACTGGCCAGCGTGATGAAGTATGGTCAAATAACCCAAATTACCCACACGGTGCAGGGAGGCAGTAATCCAGCAGTGGACTGACCGGTCTATAAAGTACCTTGTTAAATTCAATCTGAAAGTGTTGTCTGTACAGTATACACAATGCAAGTACAGTACCGTATATGTTTGTCCATTGATTTTGTCAATTTACGTTGGCATAGGAAGTACCCATTTTTTTGTTGGCAGTGGTTTGCTTAATGGAATACTGTATCAAGAATTGGATGACTTATGAGAATTCGGCACAGCCAACCTTAATGATGATAATGATCTTGCCATACAGTACCACTTGCAACTGTAAGTGTTTGTTCAAATTCCAGCTGGGCTCTGTCAACATTACCTCATCCCTCTGTGTAGCTGGTAAAATGAGTATCACCTGACTAGGGGGCTTACGCTTGGGTGAAAATCAACGTGACTTTACCGAAAAAAACAAAGAGTAATCAACAGGTTGTTGTTCAACGCCTATGTACCAACACATTCCAGCCATAGGAACGTGGAATTTACACCACCGGCTCGTGACCACCAATTCAGATTGGCACTGCCCGATACTTTAAAGGAGCACGTGGAACAGCGATGTTGACTGTGTACTTGGTGACGTTTCAGGCAATGGTCCTTCACAGTAAATACCCATTGCTCAAAACGTTGCCTGTTATATACTTTAAGTCCACAGTGTTATTGACCAATGGGGCCGAAACGTCGTTAATTTTTTTTATTTTTGTTGTTTTATACTTTTACGTGACTTTACTGAATAGAACCAAAGAGTATTGACCAATGTGTTGAGTTTTTATAATTATTTATGTGTGCGCACCAATGTGTAAGCACCAATGCATACACAGTATCACCCCATAGTTTGATATTTAACCGTGACTTTTGTTCCTCCCAGTGCTTTAGCTATCAAGTGCGGAGGCGGTGCAACTGCACCAGAGCCCCCGGGCCAGAAGGGCCCAAGTTCCGGGCTACAAACATAGCTGGAGTGGAAGCAAATTTGGACAGGGTGGCAGGGGGGGGGTGCCGCCAATTTAATATCTTGCAGGGGGGCCCATGCCAACCCACTGATCCCTAACATTTATTACCACCGTTCCACTCACTTGCACACTTCCTCTGATGTCTTTATAACGTCTCCTGTGGAGTTTTCGTATGATTAATACCGTTAATCATTATTCAACCAAATCACCCTTAATGCAGTCGATCCCATCAGATCTCAGATGCTAAGTAGGGTTAAGCCTGGATAGTGTTTGAATGGGGATCACTGTGCACAATCAGGTTGCCATCGGGATTTCGGGGGTGGGGGGGCGACTTGGTAGATAGTCATAGGGCAGTGGGTGGGGGAGGGAGGTCTTTATCCAGCAGTGGATTGACCATGGCTGTCAATGATGTTGATGTCACAGAGGTGGAGAGGGTGGCGGTGATGCGGGGACAGTGGTTCGTGGACGGCACCTGGCAGCCGCTGGAGGAGGAGGACAGCGACCTGATCGAGACCGAGCACCTGGCGCGGTTCCGCGGGCAACCGTGCCATCCGGCACCGCTTGAGGCAGAGCAGGAGCAACCGCCGCCGCCACCACGGCCGGAGAACCGAGACGGTAAGGCTGGCACCACCGCTGCCACCGCGATCGTCGTGCCCGATCGTCGCGATTGTCGTTAGTGTCCATTGCCACCGTCGCTACCCTGGACACCCTTTGCATGATCAGACGTTTCATCGCAAGGGATTCTGCCGGTGAAATCTTTTAATGAGTAAAAAATAATGCATTGGCTCCCGGTTAACCTTCGGGACTTGGCGGTGAACAGCGTTGCTGTGGGAAGCTGTGGGTGGACGGCAGCATCGCCTGGTGACGAAAAATGTCTTTGGCAGCTGAAATATGTTTGTTAAATGTTAGGGTGACCCTTGGTGGAAAGGGGAGGTAAAATGATCGAGGGTGGCGTGTGGTTTGGGAGGAGTAAAAGGAGGACACAGAATGATCAAACGTTGAGCAATGCAAGGGCTTTAAAAGTGGACACGGGTCAGTAAACATTAAGGAGGATTTGGAGCCAGATATTCTGAAACGGCTGCTTTGCTTGCCTTTTGCATAGAATTCTACAGGAAAAAGAATGCAGACATTACCAGAGCGTGTTTGTTTGCATGTTCACCACAAGTACCTTGTGGTTAATGCAGACTTGATTCCTTGCAAAAGTTTTAATATTTGGTGTTTGAACATCTTAACACCTGTTTTATTGCCAGAAAGGGTAAAACCCATACTCTTTGGATCTTTCGGTAAAGTCCACGTAGGTATAATATAAAATAAATCAAAACGTTTCGGGCGCAACACAAGCGTCCGTCATCAGGTGAGAAAGAACCTGATGATGTGCCCAAAACGTCGTGATTTATTTTATTTTATACCCACGTGACTTTACCGAAAGAACCAAAGAGTACGGATTAATCAAGGGTAAAACCTATTCTTTATATTTCCTACCCTCCTCCACCTCTGTCCACCCAGCAGTATAAATGTGTACAGCACAGTTAGTCTATCGACAGGTTGTGTTTAGTGGGGCAAAGTGTGGGTACTCCCAGCTCTCGAAAGACATGTGTATGTATGCTAATCGGAGCGCTGGAAGAGTTAAGCCAATATTATCCTGCAGAGGGGGCTCCCCAGAGCTCCTGCTGTTGGAGGCTCTTTCACCAAAAGTGACGTAAGGAACACATTTCAGGGCTACACCTTTATCGGGGGAATACTTTGAAAAAAAAAACTGTGATTTTCATTAACTTCACTCTACTTGCAATTAAATTTTCCAGGAATAAAAAGTTTAAAGTTAATGTTGAAAGATTAACATTTCTGCCCAAGGCGAGATTAACGTAAGAATGGATTTGGTCAAAGGATTTGCGCCGTCAAACTTTGGGTTTTCCGGCCTTAGAAAATCCCTTATCGGCCACTTTCTCAGAAGAAACCATACGGCGGTAAAACACAAATCACTTTACAGTTCTAAAGTCCATTGTTTGAGTCACGTTCAAAATAACTTGCACCTTTAGCCCAGCCAATGGCACAAGAACATCTGATAAGGTCTGAATTGGTCTGTAATAAGGTAGGCACTGATAAGGGGTTGACAGGCATGAGATAAGGACATTGAAACGTTTAAACAAGTTTCCATCTTTATTAAAGCTGCTCACAATTTCGGCAGGAGCGGTGACATAGCAGTTAGGGGCCATCCATAAATGACGTCAGGCACCTGGGGGGGGGGGTGCTCAGACATTTGTGATGATGTGTGACGAGGGGGGGGGGGATTTGAGAAATGTGACGTCACATCAAAATGCGCAACTTTAAATAAATATAGAATTGTTATAACAACACTAATTGTTATAACAACACTTTTACAACATCAGAGTGCAGCGCCACATTAAATACGCACTAAAATGACAATAGTTTAAAGCGATTTGAAGCATGTTTTATTTTCAAAATGGAAATATGGTTTTGGGGGGGGGGGGCAGAATTTTGTGGCGTCATATTTGAGGGGGGGTCTGACTTTTTGTGACGCCGTGTGACGAGGGGGGGGGGGGTCATAAATCGTCCAAAATCGCGTGACGTCATTTATGGATGGCCCCTTAGCGCATTGCACTATGAACCCAGTGACCTGAGATCGATTCCTGGCTACAGCTAATGGGTCAGTGGGATGAAGTATTGATGGACAAAAAGTCTCCCCCCCCTACCGCCCCCTGGCATGTGTGGGTTTTCTCCCGGTGCTCCAGTTTCCTTCCAACATGTATAAACACACTTATTAATTGGCTAAAATTGTCTGAATATAAGGAGGACCGCAGAGCTTGGGCGATTGTTGGTTTCAAGTTCAAGTTTCATTTATTAGGTACTAGCTGTACTACCCGACTTCACCCGGGACTTAGATCCACCACGCGCGGCCGCCTTTGTCTCCCCAGTGGCGATGTTCACACCACAGCACTTACTCGTTTGAGGCTGAGTCGACCTAGGGGAGGCCCAGGACCGGTTAAAATAATCGTCACCGGTGGTGGCCGTGAGCGGGAATCGAACTTGGGTCACTTGCCGTGCAAAAAAAAAATGCATTATTGAGCTCCCCTCCCCCCAGAAAAAGTTTTTTTTTATAATTTTTGCATGTTGTACAGTCTGGAAAGTACCCACATGGCAAATTTCAAGTTTGTTGCATGTCAGGAAGTACGCTAAACATTTTGAACAGACACAGATATTCACAACTTTGCCTTTTATATATATGGAGATAGCCCTGTGAGCCATGCGGCTCTTGAGTTGGGTGCAACCGCAACAAACAAAATATGAACAGAGAAACATCTTAAAGCGACGACGACGCGCAACAGAAACGTCCTGGATAAACCAGCAAATCTTCCAGAAAAAAACTACCGTATTACAACGCTGTGTGCAAAAATCCCAGTGTGATGCAAGTCAAACAATAACAACCATAAGACAATTTAGATTAAAGTTATCAGGCAAACCCCCCACTTCCACAACAAACATGGCTGAACCATATGTTTTCGAAATCACCAAAATAAAGCTATAAAAACAATGCAACAACAGTAATCATAAGAACTGCGATTCAAATTTAACAATAAACGATATACATAACATGTAGGACCAAACTTGCAGCCATAGCTGGCAGCATGACACTCCCAGTGTATGATGTGTGAGTGAGTCAATGCTAGTGTGAGTGAGTGTGTGATGTGTGAGTCAGCGTATGATGAGTGAGTCAATGTATGATGTGTGAGTTAGTCAGTGGTAGTGTGAGTGAGTGTATGTATGATGTGTGAGTGAGTCAGCGTATGATGAGTGAGTCAGTGGTAGTGTGAGTGAGTGTGTGATGTGTGAGTGAGTCAGCGTATGATGAGTGAGTCAGTGGTAGTGTGAGTGAGTGTGTGATGTGTGAGTGAGTCAGCGTATGATGAGTGGTGCCAGCTCACTGCCTCGTCTGTGGTTCGTCATGCCCGTTGAGTCATTCTCTCTGAGCGAGGGAGAAAATACCATGCATCGGCCGTGTTACAAGTTGACAGAACCTATCATTATTTTTAAACAAGCACAATATTAATAAAGTACTGTGAATAATAAACAAGGATACTTTTGGAATGTTACTTCCATATTGCAACTCGGATAAGGCCGAGGGAACTGGTATTAGTGTTTTGAGAATTGTTTTTGTGAGTGCGCGTGAGTCGGCGATCCGCACGAACGGTTATCAGTACATTTCCATAACAACAGCAAAAAATAAGCGGGTACCGCTGAGAACATTGGAGAAGCTTCCGTCCTTAAATCACGTTTGGTATCGGCGCGTCTCATGGCTTACGGGTGATGTGTGGGCAGCACCAAAAGCGGGGAGTTTTTTTTTTAGGGGCTTTTTCTGGATTGTTGGTGATTTTCTTTGCATCAACAATCCTTGCATACTCTGAATTATGACTCGTACACAGATGGACGGACAACACCTTTTGTCAATCCACTGCTGGATGAGGGCCTTCCTTCGTCACGTGGATTATTTGAAAATCTGGTCTGCGGGTTGGTGAAGATGTGGCGATATAGATATAGACACGGGGAGCGTACAAGTACAGTACAGCAGTTGATTTTGTACTGCCCTTGCTGCACATAGTCAGAGGAATATGGGCAAATAATAAACGAATATGTAGACAACTGTTTGTACATTCCACAGAACAAAGTAGTCCAAACATCCTTGCTAATCAATGCGTAACTGCAACATTTGCTTTAACGGCAAAACTCTGGATCGGTTTCGCCTTGCCGAGTATCATCAGCAGGGCGTTGCCTGCAAAACATACTTCCTCTGCTGGCTTCCTACACGCTGTTATAACCAATAACGTTCCACTTAAAAACTATGGCGCGCCCAACTTACGGGATAAGATGGGCCCTTGAACATTAATAATAATAAATAAACTCGTTCAAAAAAGTTTTTTTTTAAACGACGGTTTTATTAACAACTTCGTTTAACTCGCGGTCGAGAAGTACGTCAATGGCACCTGAGACACGCGGTGCCTGCGTTTTGTGCGAGCCGATTCCACAGTTTAGGGACCACGGCGTTGTTGGCCTGCACAAATATATATATAAAAATAATAAGGCTTCCGTACAAAATGAAAATTGCTTTAAAGTAGCGAATTAATTGATTAATTGATGCCGATTTTGATACAGGCATGCATTGTCACCGGATCTGAGTATGTGTGCAAATTTTTGAATTGATTGGACAACGGGAAGTGGACGAAATTGTGATTACAAGATTTGACCCAGACAAACAGAGGAATCAAGTTAAGTCAAACCGTTGAAAAATTTTAACTCACCCATATGTACTTTTGTTGGGCGCTCGCCACAACGCGTGTGTGGGTGTCTCTTTTTGCGTGAGTGCACGCGCACACACACACGCGCGCACCCACACACACGCGCACCTTTCGTTAGCCCGCGTACAATTGCGGGTTACATTGAACTATCAGAAGCGTAACATCGACAGAGATTTAAGTCCTTTTGTTGCCCAATAAAAAAAAATCACAATACTCCTACTGTGTCTGTCAGCCTTGCAGTGATCCGTTGAACGCGCCAGTTGTATAGCTGGTTATTGTAACAGGTACCTCCAGTTTATGGCCCAGTCGTAGAGCAAGCGGTTCACTCTGGTGGGTTGCGAGTTCAATTCCTGGTTGATTGAGCCCTGGTTGGGGGGGGGAGGTTTGACTCCTCCCATAATCTTCTCGGGGTCGATAACATTTCTGCCACTTTGTGGAGAAGTCAACAGTGGTTGTCCTATGGAGAGACTCGTCCCACCACCACCGCCCCGTAAGTACAAAGTCAAGGAAACCATTTGACTTTGTACTTACCAAGTGCAAATAAAAGAAGTATCATTGTGTATTGTATTGTCTTGTTCGATCCAATTCTGGATTAAGGCCTCTCCACGTCATTTCCAGCCCTCACACTCCTGTGATACCACAATCCAACCGAGCATTAGAACATCATTAATAACCCGCAACACAACCCACTTCGTTCGATGTACCAGCCTTAATAGGTGCTCGCTAACAGCACTGGTTCCCAAGAGCCATTGTAGGCTATACCGGGGATCTTTGTCTCTTTATTTATGTGCTTTGGCTGGGTCATGTAGCCCCGCATGCCCAACCACCTCCCCACGCAGCTTCTGTTTGTCCAGATAGAGGGGGCTAAACGGGGGCGGCACGGGCTCAGAGGCAGATCTAGAAACTTTCCAGGAAAGGGGGAGGAGGATGGGGATGGGGATGGGGCAGTCCCGAAATTTCCAGCTTCTTAAATTTGACTGATATATAAATAAAATGCAAACAAATCTTCGTATATATTTTCCCTGGTGAATATCAATAATGCACCAGTTTCCGGGGTCTAAAGTGGGAGGGGGTATGGGGTCGAATGCCTCCATCACATCCCCTCCGCCTCACCCCTTGGATCTGTCACGGCAAGAGTTCTCGAGGAGGTGATTCGATGTGAGTCGGAGGTGCGTGGGATTCAACCGGGTTCTTTGTTGCAGCTAGCCTCGGCACAAGGGATTTTTTTCTAAGTCCGTAATATCATCGGCCGATGTTGTTGTTCTCGTGTTTGTGCGTGTGCAGTCATCCACAGCCTGCAGTTGAACCGTAGCCACGTGGACTGGAATGGGGTGGATGAGGTCTACCTCTACAGTGACGCCACCACCTCCAAGATCGCCCGCAGTGTGGGCCAGAAGTTGGGGCTGTCGAAGGGTGCGTGTGCGTGCATGCGTGTCTCTGCGGGGTGGTTATGTATGTATGTTGAACTTATTTAGCATCGTATGTAGACAACTGTGCTCATCGAAGGTGCGGTGGAAGGACAAGAAGCTAAACACAAAAAGCAGTTCTTAGGAAATGAGTTTTCAATCTAGATTTAAAAGTTCTTATCACCAGTGGCTTCCTAATATCAGAAGGAAGAGTGTTCCAGACGGCCGGTGAGTATGCGGCACTATGAACCTGGCAACCCGAGTTTGATTCCCGCTTTCGGCCAACACCAGTGACGATTATCTGAACCGGTTCTGGGCCTTCCCTTGGTCGACTCAGCCTTAAATGTGTATCTGCTGCAATGTGTAAACGTCAGGGTTGGGGAAACAGAGGTGACCGAGAGTGGTGGATGTTGGTCACCCACCCCCTTCCTGTGCCGTGCTACTCGTTAACAGCACTTGCACCCAATGGTCTGGTAAAGGCTATCCAGGGATTCTTTGTCTTTTGTGGGGGTTGTGTGAGTGTGTGCGCTGGCCCGCACACCGAAACGGGACACCTGGGTCACACCAACGCCTCTGAGCGAACCCGGTGTCGTTTACAATCCCTTTCCCCTTCCGTCACCTGTCGGCCGTTGCCCGACTGCAGGACTCTGTGTGCCCCCTGCACGTTCTAAACATCTCCGCAAGGTGCACTTCCATGTTCATGCATGATATTTAAAAGTACAAAAACCTACAGTAGGAGAATAGTTTTTTTCCCCCCTTTTTTCTGGCAACAAAAAAAAAGACCTTTTACAAGGAATCACGTCTGCATTAACCACAATGCTTGTGGTCAGAATGCAAACAAAAAAAACATACTCTGATAATATTTGCATTGTCTTTGAAACTGATTGGTCCACACCAGAGACAGCTTTCTTTTGAGCCTCGTCTCAAACGGTGTTAGACCAGAGGACGCCAAAAGGCGTACAGCACAAAGGCAATGCACTATCAAAGTATTGAGAGCTCGGGATGACCATCTACGTTAATGCAGACATGATTCCTTGTAGAAGGTGTTTTTTTGTTGCCAGAAAAAAGGGGAAAAAAACCTATTCTCATATTTTGGTACTGGCAAAGGAGGTCCCATGATATAGAACCTACAGTAGGTTTATATACATATTTTTTTTCAAATGTATTCATGTGAGCAGGGCTTAATTTCTCACCGAATATTTTACAGGTCTCCGTGGTAGACTGAATGTAGGTGGCACGTGACTAGAAGTCGAAACCATGGCAAAAGGTTTACTGGATGTGGTGCGCCGGATGGCCTAATATTTTCTGGGTCATCGACTAGGACAGACCCGGCTGAAATTCGGGAGACGTATCGCGTCAGATCTCGGAAGCTAAGGAGGGTTGAGGCTATACAGGGGATCTTTGTCTTTGTGTGCGCGCGCAGCATCCAGCAGCGGCACGCACCTACAGAGGGGCTACGTGGAGGAGGCTCTGGTGGAGGACCGGCCTCCAGACGTGTCTCACCTGGTGTTTGTGGTGCACGGCATCGGCCAGAAGATGGACCAGAACCGCATCATCCGCAACACCAACACGTGAGTCGAACATGGTGTAGGTTAGTGGTTGGTCGTGGTGGTAGATGGATGGTGGTTTTAGTGATTGTAGGTGTGAGTGGTAATGGTGGTGGGTGGTGGTAAGCTTAGCTGAGTGGCAAGTGGTGTTGGTAGGTGGGTTGTGGTTTTTGTGGTGGTGGTAGAGGTGGAGTTTAGGGGTGGATAGTGGTTTTGGTGGTGGTAGTGGTAGTAAATTTAGGCATGTCTCTACATAGTACAACCACTGTTGACTTCCCCCACAAAGTGTTACTCATTGTTTTCCACCCTGAAGGATTGATGGGCTGAATCAGCCCACCCAACCAGGATTGTGAACTCGCAACCTTCCAATTGGCGAGCCGTTTCGCTCTGCCACCCCGGCAGGCTCGATAATAACCTTGAAAACGATACCCCCGTGTGTATTATTCGGGTGCTTTGGAAAGTTTAATCGCATGGTTGACTCATTTGTGGAGCTGACCTTCTTTTTCTCGTACCGTTTCAAGGTAATCTTCGGTCACATGATCTTGTAATCTCACCAGCCCTCCCTGGTGGGTCACTCGGTCAGTGCATAATTAATGATTTCTGCGCCCAGTGTCTCTCCCCCTCTCTGGGGCAGCTTGCGACTATAACGTCGCCTCGTGCCTAAAACACCGAAGGCCGCGTGGCTGATAGGATGTGGAGAGATTGACATGTGAAGAAGGCGTATTGTCCGCTTATTTCATTTGTTGCTTATATCCTCCACAACCAAGCTGATTATTAAGTCGTGTTATATATTCCAGTGTTTAGTTTTTGCTTCGAAATATTCCCCGTGTTGAACAGAGAGGTTCAATGACAATAAACATCTGGCAGTTGCGGTTTATCCACATCGGCACAAGCGAGCCTGACCACTGAGACATTGATTGTCGAAACCGGTCCCGAAGTTTGCTTGTGTTGAAGCATTGCCACCGGGGTTGTCCGCTCCCAGAAGGCTGTGTGGCTGATTTGGATGCTACTAAAAAAACAAATACTTGGAATCTTTATGCGGAGGGACGGACATGTGAAAGAGACGGATTGTCTGCTTAAAATTCTCGACGACGACGCGAATTATCATTTAGTGTATGCTCGTGATTATCTTAATCGAATTGGCCAAATATCTCAAATGCAGCAAGACCCACCTGAAAAAGGCAATCCTGGATAAATAACGGCCATTATTATTATTTTAACCGTTAACACAATTAAGGGAGGAGCGTTGGCGCAACGGTTAGCATGCTGCGCTGGAAACCCGGTGAACCCGTTTCAAAATGTTGTTAACGAGCGGTTCGTGCGTCAATGAGAAACAACCGAGGCGGAGTACCCCCCCCCCCCCCCCCCCCCCCCGTTCCACCACCTCCTCGCTGCCATCCCGCCCCCCCCCCCCCCCCCCAAATTATATATTTTAATCTCCTTGGCCGAACCCGCGCGTGTTTGTCTCGGTTTCGTTGTCCATGGCAACGGCACCACAACAAACGGTCGGTACAGCCGAGCTCCGCGGTGCCGCTGCGCTGGTCCGGTGGAGGTCGCTGCGATTGGTGGTGCCACGGCCGACTGGTCACCACATTGCCGACGCTGGTCGCGTGCCCGGTCGCTGCGGACAAAGGTCCACCGTCAGTCCAAGTGAGCTGTGGTCACAATAGCTGGATGGAGGTATTATGGCAATGATAGTTGCAATGTATTTTTTTAAGCCAGCGCCTTTTCATCGGAGGATCACGAAGCGCTGTTGTGCACGTGAAGAGTTTGACACTCGGTGCAAATTGAAATAAATTTGGGGCAAGCCCAATATGTTTCAAGATGTATATGAATATACACACAGGATTGGGCTATAATACGAAGTCTAACTTATAAATCGTTAATGCTTGTGACAAAGAGCTATATAGCTCAGTGGGCCTTACCTGGTAAAATGAAAATAATTCTTAGTTTGAAGTTTACGGATTGCTATGGAGCATCATGGGTAATAATGTAAATATATATCAATAGACCTCTGTTCTATTTGTCCACACACAAATATGCGGCGACCTGGGGGCTACTCGACCTTCCCAGAGTGAGCGGCTCGCAGTGAGAAGGTCGGGAGTTCAAATCCTGGTTGGGGGGTTAACTCATCCCATCATCCCTCTAGGGTCACTAAAATGAGCACCGCTGTGTGGGAAAGTAAATGGTGATTGTCCTAAGGATAAATTAACTACTGCCATAGGCATGTGGAATTCCCACCACTGTCTAAGGGCTGTAAATGAGAAACAACCACCTCTTCTCGCCTGAACTGGGTGAGGGCCTGAACTGGGTGAGGGCCTGAACCGGGTGAGGACCTCAACCGGGTGAGGGCCTAAACCGGGTGTGGGTCTGAACCAGGTGAAAGCCTATAGCTGTTGCATAAAATAATAATATACAGCTCATTTGTCGGTCAATTGCTGGTATGAAGGCCTCTCTACATGCCGTGTGAGTCATGGGGATTGTTTGACCATACTTCACCACTTGACCACTCTGGCCAGCGTGGGTTTGTGTAAAGGTTAGGTGTGGGTGGAATGTCCAGTAGCGATTCAGATTATTTCTCACCACTGATTGCTAGCCGTGGTCAGGAATTGAATTCGGGTCGTTTGCTTTGTATCACAGTACACTGACCACTGATCCACCCAGATTACTTATGGTTAGTGTAAATAGCAGTGATGTGCTGTAATATTAATATCGTGTGTTCAACCAGGAAGTCCTGAGTGTAGAAAGTCGTTTGGCAGAGGATTTAACAGTCCCCACTTATCCATTGATTTCAGCCTCATACTTTTTAATGTAATATCATTTATTTATGAAACGCTCAGTGAGTTATTTTTTTAAGAGGGTGCTGTTGCAATGGAATGTTTGGCCAGTACCATTAATGAGCATTTGGCTTCATGTGGGAGGGTAACCGGGAAACCCGGAGAAAACCCACCGTGCATACTCGGGGAGTGCACGTGAAGGTTCTGCGAAGACGGATTCAGGAAACCTACTTGCCGTACTGCCGTCTCCTCACCACGTTGTAAGCTTGGCGGGTTTGAGAGTTTGACAGATTTATGCATGATCCACGAACCCTCGACTCTGAAAGCGCTTGTTGGACAAAATAAACTGGAGCATCAGGGGATGATAACTTCCTCGTGTGACGAGACAATGCGGAAAGGTCCGCACAAACAACCCACTTGCTGTACTGGCTTTTCTTCTTCAGCTCGCAGCCCAAGTTTAGGTGTATTTGGGGGGCAAAGTTTCAAAAATCTCGACGTGATTCACCAACCCCTGTATTCAAAACGTTGGCTCGCAGGCGTGTGCCACCATGTCCGTAGCGTTTGTGTGTGCGCACGCGTGTGTTGATCAAAGATCTGGGCACGGTCCCATCGGTGAGCTCCTCCGGCAGGCAAGGCTGCATTGGCTGGGTCATGTAGCCCGCATGCCCAGCCACCGCATGCCGAAACAGCTTTTGTTCGGCCGGATCGAGGGGGCTAAACGGGCGCGGCACGGGCTAGAGAAGAGATGGAGTGATGTGGTATAGGAGGACGTGGAGCTGAGTGGACTTGCCGATGACTGGTACCAGCGGTGTCAAGATCGGCCTCTGTGGAGGAGGCTCGTGAAGGACGCTGCTACTGGGCAGTTGGAAGCAGTCGCCCTCCAACAACAACGGAGGGCGGAGGAGCGACGCTCACAACAACGAGCGGAGCGCCGGGTGGCTAAAGCACAGCAGGTTGGCACACTAGGGGGCACAGGTGGTGCATCAGCCAGTCATCTCAGTCAGTCGACCAGTGGCACCTGGGTCTGCCCCGTGACCTCCTGCCAGCGGGCGTTCGACACTTCACGTGGCCTCAAGGTGCACATGGCCTGGCACAAGCGTCATGGTGACGTCACCGCCACTTAGTAGTGAATGGCGGTTGTTGTTGTTGTTGGTTAAGTTTTGGGAGCGCTGCCGCAGTGGTTAGCGCACTGCTCTACGAACCCGTCGGCCCGAGTTCAATTCCCGTTTACGACCACCAACACCAGAGGCGATTATCCAAACCTGTCCTAGGCTTCCCTCAGGTCGATTCAGCCTCATATGAGTACCTGGTGCCATGTGTAAACATCAGCGCAAAGGAGGAGGCAACAGCGGCCGGGCGTGGTGCTGGCCACTCACCCCCCTTCATAGGTGTGCTGTGCCAGCCTTCATCGGTGCTCGCTAAAGGCAGTTGCCCCAATAGTCTATTTAAGGCTACACGGGGGATCTTTGTCTTTGTTGCACATGCAGAGCAGAGAATGAATGAATGTTATTCAAGACGTTGTATAGAAATGCCATTCACCCATCGGTGTTCCCGCAGGATCGTTCTGTCTTGTGGCACGAGCTCTGTTAACACGAGGCCGTCATAGCCAAAGGATGTCACCTGGCAGCGGATAGATCATGGCTGATGGTGATAATGATGGTGCCGCGGTGGCAAGATGTTAACTACCTCACCTGGTATGCCGGATGTCGTGGGTTCAATCCCGACACTGACGCCTGTGTATTTGGGGTTTGCGTGTCCTCCCTGTGGACGTGTGGATTTTTGTCCAGGTCCTCTGGTTTCTCCCTCCACATTTACAAACATGCTTTTAGAATATATTTGACTGCAAGAAATTTCCACGAGATGATAAGCCAGCCACTTTATTGAGCTATAATTTGTGGCCGGGTTGCTTCTGAAAAAGAGCTGTATAATCTTGATTTGAAGCTTTCGTGACTACCAGGAATCTGTACTCTTTGGGTCTTTCGGTAAAGTCACGTGGTAGGTAGAAAAATAATAGATCGCGATGTTTTGGACGCAGCACGAGCGTTCGCCTGGTGACGGACGCTTGTGCTGCGTCCGAAACGTCGTGATCTATTATTTTTCTACCTACCACGTGACTTTACCGCAAGACCCAAAGAGTAAGAGCTATATAGCGCAGTGGTCCTTACCTGGTAAAATAAAAAAAAAGTTTAATATAGTTTTCGTTTATGGTGAATCTCTCGGGAGTTGTTAATTGGGCTGACGGAGCGG